CGTCCACAAGATGGAACAACAGATGCATTTAATAATTTTTTACAAAAACGTGCATCAGCTGTACCTGATCAAGCAGTATCTACTCAGCAAGTTTATCCTAATTTCCAACCAATAAATAATCAAAAAAATAATACTTATCTGTAAAATATGAATGTACATATAATCAAAAAGATTTATGATTATTTTTGTTTTTTGTTATTTCCAAATCATAAAATTTTCCGTTCTTCTTATAAGTCCGTCGCATTTTTTTTTAGTTAATCAATTATTTATTTCAGAACAAAATGTTTATTCTGTTAGAATCAAAAGCAAGAAAAAAGAAATTGTAACATACTTTTGTATTTATGTTTTTTTGTTTTAAACTCGCCATAATCATTTTGATTTACTTATTAATCTATAATATAAATAAATCTATAAATCATTTCTTCTCGTTTTTTTTGTTACCTACAGAGATATATCAATCGTAGTCTTGTTTTTTTCCTTTTTAAAAAAAACTCGAATACATTGTAATTTAATATATTTCGAATTCTATCTTTCTCTTTTTTTTTGTAGAGAAATATAATGCAAAGAAGAAAAAAAATGATTATGGTAGAACATGCATAAAATATGCATACTCATATTGTTAGTCACATAGACGATGACTATGTTATATAAGCACGTAAATATGACTATTTGATCAAGAAAGCAATAACATAGTATATCACCGAGAGTGATGCATAGGAGAAAAAAAATCAGTTATAAATGTAAAACACGTGAGTTTATGAAATCTAATATGCCGTATATAAATCAATTTATATTTCCTTTACAAATGATAATTAGATAGATTTTTTTAGATGGGTAAAGATAATTTCCTATCGACAGATGTTGGCCAACGAGTTATTCTTGGTGTATGTATAACCATCTTTTTGGTGATAATTTTACTTTTCTTTGGGTATGTTACTCGAATTTTTTTGGATATGATTATTCTATTTTAATTTAATTTAGAAAAATTCATTGTCTAATCTTCATTCTACTACTTATAATTAGTTATAAATTAACTGATTATTATGTGTATGTCTTTAAAAAAAAAAGTGATTTTATCTTATAGTTCTGATTGATTTCATTTAGAACATCATTAAATAAACCAAGTAAATCTTCAAAATGTTGGCCGAATCTACTCATTTTTTTCGAACCAACAAAAGTATTGATTATTATTATTAATTAAATATTATTGGTATATATTTTTCTCTTTTAAGGATTTACAAAAAGAATTAATACAAAAACAGAGGTAGATTTCTAATTCTTTCTCATTTGTATATACATATTGTTTTTTCTTTTGAATATCTAGTGCAAGTACTCGTTATATACATAAGAATCCTTGGATTCATTTGATGCTATCCAAACGAATTGATACAGCTATTGATGAAGCAAGTTCTATTTTCCATAATTAAAATTTAACAAAAAGTTTTTATTCTAGTTTTGTTGTTTATGTTTAAGAGATCATGTATATCCATGGTTATCGTAAGTTTTATATTTTTATTGAAATTAAAAAAAACAATAACAAGAATATTTTATAGAATGATTACACAAGATGATAGCCTTGTTTATGAGGCAAAGCATGTCTTCCGTTTTCTTTTAGCAACTGTTATACGTCGAATACAAAATGTAAGATTTTGTGATCTTTTAATAAAAATTGTTTAACTGTATTTGATTTTTCTCAAAGGTTGATATCAATACATTCGTTCTTGAACGTCTTCTTCCATTAATTTTTCAAACATGTGATCGTTATATTCAAACAGTTAAAATAAATTCTCCCGATGAATCTCAAAACTCAACAACTGATTTTCTTAAAAAAATGTATAAAAATGATCTCCATGTTGCTATGTATAATCGTCAATCTGAAATAAAATATTTAAAACGTCTTATACTTGATTTAATGCCAATCATAACACCAAAATTTATCTATGAATGTAAAGGTTCTCGTCATTTTTTAAGTGAAGTAATTGCTTGTCAAATTTTAATTGATGGTATTGATGCTATATGTGAACCTAATACATTAAATCGTTTATTTCATTTATATTTTACAACTGCTATTCAACGTCGAAATGGACTTTTGAATGTAATAAATACTCCAACTAGTCCATCAGTTGAATTATTAACACGTTTTTGTTCAATGAATGGTCCAATACATAAAAATCAATTAGCTTTAGAATTAACGGATGTTATGTATGAAAAAGAATTATTAAATCAATTTAGCCGTGTACTTGATCGTCATGATTCTATTGGTTTATTAAGTATTTATGTAACATTATCTGATACTTTAAATGATATTCCATCAGCATCAAATATATTAGTTCGAAAAAAAATTTATCAACGTTTAAAACATATTGATGAACGTTATTTAAATCCTAAAACATCTGATGGATTTGTAAGCATTAGTAATCCACATGATCCAACTGATACATTAATAGATGACATAAAAACTTTAATTTATAATGATTTGGCAGAAAGTATTAAAGAAGAAAATGAAGAAAATAAGTCAGATAAAGCACCTAAAACATTTGATGTTCAACATACATTTACATTATTATCTCGTTTTCATTGTAAAATTTATGAATTAGTTGAAGAAAAATATCAACGATGTTTCTTAACAAGTGATGAACATTTTCTTTATATATGTGGTAAAAGAATGGATTCACCTGATTATAAAATGAAAGCTCAAAAGTTAGTTTTTTCTTTTACCGATTATCTATATATGTATATTTTTATATAAATATTTAATAATCATCTTAGTTTCGATGAAATTGCATTAGATTTCGTTCATATTGAAGAAATCAGGTTTGATGATATCCATATATATATCCCTCAATCTTTCTTTGTGCATAAAACCAGCTTTTTTTTATTTATTTTAAATTGTATTCAAATATTCGAGTGACTAACTCATTTCATTTTATTTAGAAATACTAATGAAGCTGCAAATAAACGTAATGCATCAAAACATTATACAACAACATCCTACAAAGGTATGATAATTAGAAAAAAAGAAACCATTTTTTATCAATGTAAACCAAAATATAGATAAGTTTCTAAATTTAGCAGATAATGTGAGTAAATATAAAAATTAAAACATCTCTAGACGTTCTTTTATATCAAAAAAAAAATAGTTTGTGCAATTAGTTCTAAATGTTGATTTGCTAACTTCAGATATTTAGCACATAGATTGCATGTATTATCATCTACAGATTAGGTCCTAATATAAATCTATGAAACGTTCCTATTGTGAGCAAAGTTAAGACTTCCAGAACTAAATTTGTAGTGTAAGCTGAATTATAAGCCATAAATACTTGGTTAATCTTTTATCATGCAAACACCTATGTACTTTAAGATTACAGATTAGAATATTAAACAATCATTTAGAATGAGTGAGTGACTAGATATATACCGAGAGCATATCTTTAGCTTTCAGTTTCAATAATCCAATAGTTCATAACAATACAATGAATCTATCTGAAGAATTTATATAATTATTTTTTTTTTGTTATAGATTTGGAAGACAGAGATGAAGTACATCTAAAATGTCCAGAAGAAACAACGAGTATTGGCAGTAATAGTGTACGTTATTTTTCTTTCATTTATTTTTTTGTTTATTTTGATTTTTATTTAGTCATATGATGATAGAGATTTAAATACATGGCGTGTACTTATCAGTCATGCTGAAGAAGTACGTGATAATTACAATTCAGCTGCAAAATATTGTGTATTTATTATTGAAGTACAACGAATGGAGACAAATACTAGTAAAAATAACATTCTTTCGTTTTCTACTGCTAATCATTAATATTTTAGTTAATCCAATGATGATTGATGACGAAAAAACACATTGGATTGTCGCAAGGTAAGAGAAAAGGTTTTAGACAAAAAAAGACTAACAATATGTATTTTAATTTAGACGTTATCAAGATTTTTATTTACTCGAACAAAAATTAACTGAATTTCATGGAGTTTTTTCTGATGCTCGTTTACCAGCAAAACGATCAGCAACAACAGCACGAAATGTTGAATTTCTTCAATCATTGAAAAAAGATTTCGAATATTTTTTACGAGTATATTATATTATAATAATATTTAATTTTCGTTTTGCATATAAATTTATTTAGCATTTATTATCGAAACCAACATTACGTAATAGTGAATTATTATACAATTTTTTAACACAACCTGATGATTTTACTCTACCAAATGGTGAAATTATATTAGGTTAATTTTTTCACAGAAATAATATCGAACAAAAAAAAACTTGTTTTTTTGTTTTTATAGCGAAAATGTTTAAAGTTGTACCACGTCGATTACGTATTGAAGTTAGCTGAAATAATTTTCGCTCCTAAATATTAAATTTTATTTCCTAATATAGAAAGGTCAATATCTTGATCCATTCCTAATATCATTAATCAGTTACGCTGAACCAGCTAAACCAAAAGCAACACAACCAAGTCCTATTTTTAGCGATATTGTCGAAGCAAAGGTAAAAATAATTTAAATTCAATCATAAATTTATTTTTTTTGTCTAGCTTCAAAATTCCATCTATGGAAATAATGCGAATATAAATGAACCTATGGAGGAATCACCCATAGAAAAATCTAATCTTAATGGATATGATAGTGCATATGAATATATGGTTGTTATTGGTATGAATATCAATTTGATTAGAAGAATTCGAATTATTTTTATTTATTTATAGCTAAACAAATCTTTTCAGCATCGCCATTATTAATTTATGTATTAGATTTACTTCGCATACCATTAAAAAATTCCTGTGATACATTCTTTTCACATTTTGTTGATAACAGTGTTGATGAAATCTTAGAAGACGAAGAAAATATCATTGATGTAATTCATGCTCTTCGAGGTATATATATATATTTGAATTTCAATGACAAAATTTCTATTAATTATTTTTCTAGATGTAATTTTTCCAAATGATGCTGAAGATAAAAGGTATGAAAAGAAATAGAATTTTCGAAAAAAAACAATTTATTTTATATATGTTTTAGTCCAACGGACTCAGTCAATTTTGATGATGTTGTCGCAGCAGCTGATGCATTTTTGCCAAGTATGATTTATAATAGTTTGCGATTTTTATCAGCGGAAAGAAATGGATTTTTTCTCCGATAATGTAAAAGAATGATCTGCTATCTAGAATATACAAAAAATTCTTTTCTTATTTGAGCGTATAATTACAAATATAAATCCGAAGTATTTTTATGTAAATCATAGGTTAGAAACAAAATTACATCTAGATAGCATGTCATTCGTTTGCATGTTGTTCACAGATGATTAATTTTTCAAAAGATTGCATTTCATAGATAATTAGAGAAAACAACATCCTGGATATAGAGTAATAGATTTTGTGTTTGTCGAGGTATTCGCCGTGTATTTTTATTTGAACTGAGATTTTAAGAAATTTCTCTATATTTCAATTAATTATAGATTTGATCAAACTTATACTTGGTAAAACCAATATTGAAAATGGTTTACAAACTATTTTAAAACATTTTCAAGATCCATTACTCAATAAACAAGTAAATTATTTTCATATTTTTTTTATCAAAAACAATAAAAATCTTTTGTTTTTATTTTTAGTTATTTTATATAATTCTCGATGAAATTCTCCTTCAACTTTTTCCTGAATTACAAGCACATTCTGAAAAAACAATTACTCATTTAAATTAAATTGACATTTATTTTCCTTTCATTTTTTTTCTTTTCGGGACCGGTCACATATTTCCTCTTTTTTGTCTCTGATAATCTCGTTGTTATTTTATTCTCTGTTGTATAGAATATTTAAAAGAACAAATATTAAATTCTCATTGTAGATAAGTGTACTATATTGACATAGAATGGCACACTTATCATTTATTCTAATTTTTTTTCTCATATACTATTCTTATTGCCAACAATGTGATCAAAGTTCCGATATAGCTCGTTTTGATTGTTATCCTGAAAATGATGCTACACAAGAAAAATGTCTTGCAAGAAATTGTTGTTGGAGACAACCATTTGAGAATAGAAATCAAAGAGAAAAAACATTTTAGTGCTTTTCATGATATAAATGTACCGTATTGTTATTATCCAAAAGATTTTCCGACATATAAATTACAAACAAATGAACAAACGGAGTTTGGACAACGATTACGAATTAATAAATCAGAAACAACATATATGCCACATGATATTACTGATTTAACTGTTGATCTTATATATGAAACAGAACATAGATTTCGTATTCGTATTTATGATACAATATACAAACGATATGAAGTACCACTTGAAGTACCTGTTATAACAAAAAAAACGAATCAAACTGATTATGATGTTAAAATTAATTCAAATCCATTTTCACTTCTTATTACAAGAAAATCAACAGGTGTTACATTGTAAGTTAAATATTAGAAGAGAACATCTAGTTTGACTAACTTATTCTCTAATAATCGTTATACTAATCGATATAACAGTTGTTATTCTAGAGGATAATACCTTCCATTATCGTTTGACCTTGAATTTGTTCTTTTCTCCGTTAATGTTACTAATCGTTCTGAGAAATATTATTGTTTATTAATTCTTAAGTAACCAGAAATGTCACGAAATATATGCATAATCTCGAGTTATTTAGTAATAGACATCATCAAAAAAAACGACATTATCAGACTTATTTATATTGTTTCTATTATCAATTTACTAATAACAACATTTCTGTTATTTATCAATATAAAACCTATCAATGGTTTTAGTTTATAATAACAAAACTAACCGCGCATGTACATACTCAAAAGAATTTAATTGATAATTACTTTTACATAATGGAATAATTTAGAAACGAATTTTTATTATTACTTTCATAGATTTGATTCAAGTGTATCACCACTTATATTTGCAGATCAATTTATAAAGTTTTCAACACGTTTATCAAGTCCATATGTTTATGGTCTTGGTGAACATCGACAAGCATTATTAATAGATCTAACAGAAAAATGGAAAAAATTAACATTTTGGTCACGAGATTTTCCACCCGTAGAAAATACAAATCTTTATGGTTGAGACTATTATTTTCTAATTAAACTGCAATAATTAATATATTATTATTTTAGGTGTTCATCCATTTCATATTAATCCAGAATTTAATAGAGATAATTCAACGAATTTTCACGGACAATTTTTTCTTAATTCAAATGCAATGGATATTGATCTTCAACCATTACCTGCATTAACTTATACAACTATTGGTGGAATTATTGATTTATATATTTTCACTGGACCGACAATACAAAATGTTATTGAACAATATTGGGATATCATCGGAGTACGAATAAATAAATTAATAATAAAAACTAGTTTATTATTATTTCTAGAAACCAATTATGCCACCTTTTTGGTCATTAGGATTTCATCTTTGTCGTTATGGTTATAATAGTATTGAAAATATGTTAGCAACTGTTAAAGTAAATATTTCAAAAAGAAAATTTTCTAGTGTATTTATATATATATTATATAGAGAATGGATGATGCTAATTTTCCATATGATGTACAATGGACAGATATTGATGCAATGTCATCTTATTTAGATTTTACATATGATGAGAAAAATTTTCATGGTCTTCCTGATTTTGTACGTAACTTACAAGCTAATGGAAAACATTATGTTAATATAATTGATCCTGGAATAAGTTCAGTTCAATCTCCGGGGTCCTATTTACCATATGAAGAAGGATTAAGAAAAAATATTTTTATGAAAAAATTTAATTCAACTGAATTAATTCTAGGAAAAGTCAGTTGAAATAAATTAGAATTTTTATATTAATGATATATATATGTTCATTTGAAAGGTTTGGCCAGGTATAACAGCTTTTCCTGATTTTACAAATCCAAATGCGACTGATTGGTGGACAAATATATCTTCTATTTTTCATGATATCGTTCCATTTGATGGAATGTGGATTGTAATCAGGATCGATTTCTTATATTTATAGTCATAATTTTACTTTTAGGATATGAACGAACCATCAAGTTTTATTGATGGATCAAGTGATGGTTGCACAATGAATAATTTAGATAATCCACCATTCATTCCTAGTATGTCATCCTTTTGAATATATCAAAATTATGTTTTCTTGTTGTAAATAGATGTACTTGGTGGTAGTCTTAGTTCAAAAACTTTATGTCCATCTGCTCAACAATATCTTTCACAACATTATAATTTACATAGTATGTTTGGTTATTTCGAAGCAAAAGTATCAAATGCGTATGATATTTGTGTTGTCTATATGACAAATATTTTTCTTTATCGAAATTAATTTTCTAGAGCATTGAAAACAATTCGAAAAAAAACGACCATTTGTTTTATCTCGTTCATCATTTGCTGGTTCAGGTAAATTTACTGCTCATTGGACTGGAGATAATCGAGCTACATTTGATGATATGTACTTTTCAATTCCTGGTAAATTTGAATATTAATAGAATTAAACTTAATAGTAAAACTCTTTACTTAGCTATTCTCAATTTTAATATGTTTGGTATCACACATGTTGGTGCTGATATTTGTGGATTTGGACTTGAAACAACTGAAGAATTATGTACACGATGGATGCAACTTGGCGCTTTTTATCCATTTATGAGAAATCATAATGACCTAGGACAAAAAGTAATCTATCATTATTAGTTTTTTATTAGTACTGAGACTTACGTTGACCTTTTTCTACCAGTTGATTCTATTCTTTTACACTATTAATCGGAAAACTTAAATTGTCTAAGTAGGAGAACAGTCTCAACAATCTATCATAGAGTTGATTTATTAATATTTCTTATATATACATAGGATCAAGATCCGGGATCATTTTCATATGCAGCTCAACAAAGTATGAAACAAGCATTGCTTATGCGATATTCATTAGTTCCATTTTGGTATACTCGTCATTACGAAGCAGCAATGTTATCTAGAACTATTATTCAACCACTTTTCTTCGAGTATAATTCTTATTAATAATAAGACCAGAAGAAAAAAAAGCTTTTAGTTATTTTTAGATATCCAAATGATAGAAATACGTATAATATTGATCAACAATTTTTAATCGGGCGTGCTCTTCTTGTCTCACCAAATTTAAAAACAGTAAATGAACACAAGAGAATCATTTTTTTTTATATAATAATCTAATGATACTAGGAAACAACTTCTATTAATGCTTATATTCCTTCTGATGTTTGGTATGAATTTCCATCCGGTATTAGAGTTGAAAAAGTAGGTACATTTATAAATTTGGATGCACCATTATCAAAAATAAACGTACATGTTCGTGGTGGTTTTATTATTCCAATGCAAATACCCGGCGATAATTTAATTATTGGACGTGGTAATCCATTTACATTACTTGTTGTACAATCTCAATGGGGTAATGCAAATGGAAATCTTTTCTGGGATGATGGTGATTCAATTGGTATACTCATTATTTTTATCATTTGATAATAATATAAAACAAAGTTTGTCTTCTAAATTTTCAGATTCAATTGAAACAAAAACATATAATTATTTGGAATTTTCATTAATGAATGGCGTAAGTAACTATTTGATTAATGTTTTGTGTGATTGAATATATATATATATATATATTTTCTCTCTCTTGGGGAGAATAATAACTTCTTCTGTGCTAATCTTGAAATGGGATTTCAGCACATTAACTTAAAGTGCTATTGAATGAACTGTAAACATATCAATCAAATCATCATATACATGAAATGATCCTTTTTTCAAACAATTATTTTGAATGCATTAAAAAGTTTTTTTTTCTTCTTTTTTGATTTATTTAGACTACATTGAGAATAGATGCTCTTGTAACAAATTATCAAGATAGACCAATGCGTTTGGAACTTGTAAAAATTCTTGGAGTTAATAAGACAGTTACTAATGTGAATATAAATGGAAAATCTTATACAAATTTTCTCTATAATATTTTTGATCAAGTATGTCATTCTAAACTTTAATTTTTAATAAAAAAAATTTCTATTTTCATAGATTCTACTTATATATGGACTTGAGTTAGATATGTTAACTCAATCAATTCAAACCATTCAATGGACAATGACAAATTAACAATCATTTATTTCTTTTTTTTTTACTTAATCCCGGTCTTTCAATTTTGTCTTTCACACACACAAAAAAAAACATGATTAGATCAATGGTGCTATAATTCGTCTTTCTTTCTTTTTTTCATATTTTTTATTTTCTATTGTAACGATGTTTTTTCTTTGGTTATCAATTATTAGTTCAATGAAAATATGTTGTACAAAAATATGAGAAAAAATCCAAAAATATATATGTTTTAGTCGAATATTAATAGATGAATTGCATCGATCCGAACTACATAAACAAAACGAATCTGTATGATGTTTTTTATGTTGATAACATGTTTCAGCTTTTTTTATATGATAACGAAAGATTTTATGACAATCACGTCGTACATAACGCAATGCAGTTGTTTTATCATCTCCTGCTACAGTATCATTTTCACGTGTCCACACTTTTAAACAATAATCATCGCATAAACGTGTAGGCATTTGTATTTGAGAAAAAGTTCGTGAATCTTCACATGCTGGATTTTCTCTTGAATCACACATAAAACATTCAACTTGTTTACGACATGATGCTGAATCAGCTTGAACAAAATATGAAGAACGATGATGACGATTAGTCGAAAAAATAAATAGAAAAAATAATTCGATAACAATTGATATTTGCATTATATGGTTTTTTCGTCGTAATATATATCATAGCCATACGATAAATAATGGCTTATTCATCTACAAATTAAACATTACTAGTTGTACTACTAGTAGAAGAATGAATATCATCTATCTATCGTAAAGAGAGAAAAAAGAATATATATATATATATATATATAATACAACAGGAAACACAAATTAAATCTACCTTACTTCCATTAGGTAGAATATAGTTGATAGACTGATACATCATTTTATTTCTTACCGAACAATGATATAGAAATCAAAATATAATGTTGCCTGTCAGTAAATAAGGAAAAAGAAATTTTATTTTATTTTTTTTTTTGCTTGTGTCAGTTATACTAATGATTACGAACATAAAATATGAGAAATATGACATACTAACATATTATATAAGCACTTGTTCAAATTTAATTGATTGTTTAATATAAGAAAAATTATAGTATACAAAGCAATATATAAAAACTTAAGCAAGCGAGAAAGGACGTACAACGAAGGACGAACTAGTAAAAACAATAACGATCGTAATGTGCGCATGTCTAACAAAAGAACTCGTTGTAAAATATTAGCGAAGAAAAAAAAAAAAAAAGAAATCCAGTTTTCACAGCTAACGAACAGCCTCTGCGTGAGATGCTATCAAATGCAAGCGAGTGAAAGAAGAAGAAACAGAAGAATAAAAAAAGGAAAAAAAAAGAGACAACAAGCTATATAGACGATAGGAGAATAGAGAAAAGGAATTCCGGCAGAGAAAAAGAAAATTAGAGAGCACGCGTAGCGAGCCGAACTCTAAATCTAAGCGACAATGTAGCGGTAATAACAACAGCAATAGCTTATTTTTCTCTAACTATGTGTGCATGCATTATATATACAGACATACCCCCGCAATCCCAATCTGCGATGAGACAAATTTTTTCTTCTCTCTCTCTCTCCCTCCCCTTTTCTTTAGATGTCTTCGTGCTTCTAGACCATTGATATTGTTGTATTTGAATTCATCACTCGTGCATCAACATTAACTGTCATCATATGACAAGATGCGTGCTCATCACAAACATTGAATAAATTCTATCGTGACAATTTCTCAACATAGCATTCATTCGATTTGATAATCAAGTTGTATTTACGCGAAAGAGACACGATAGTTAATATCAATTGATTGATTCACTTTTACTTCTTTTTTTATTATTATTCTTATTATTATACATTCCTTTCTGATATTTCATGAGTTATTGACAAGCACATCTGTTTTGTCTACTAAATCAAGTTAAAAATACTTCTTCTTCTTCTTTTTTTTTTATGAGAACTTTCTATGTTATCATCTGTCAGTACTGATATATGAAAGTTATTTTTAACATCATCGACATTTGTTTATTAATAATCAAACATACTATCAATTATCATCGTATAAATACGTTTTATCACAGGAAAAATAATTAAACTTCATACTTTTTATTTGCTTAACAAAATTTTTCTAAAGAACTCAATGTATAAGAAAATTATATTAGACCATTCTCAAACAATAAGATATAAATAGATATGAAGGTCAATCAAAATAATGAAAGCGTATAAATCTCAGTCAAAGATGATTGAATAGATATGTCATAATATCGATTATACCTGTACTAGTTACAATTTTATATTGCTAAGGATCATCAATCACGTTCGAAAACTTTAGTGCAAACAAAGTAATATACAATACCAATTATTTCTTGTATACAATGTACTCTTTGAAGGATATCATCGAAATCAAGTCCTTGAAGCCTAAGGGCACTATTCAGAACAACAAGTGAAGTGCACGAGACCATCAACAATCGAACAGAACATATATCGACATAAACAAGACCTTTTCTTCCTTTTGATTTTCATTCAACACCGGAAGGTACGCACACTTGAATGATTGTGCGTTGAATAAATCGAATGTCTTTCTTCTACATTAATTATACGAACATAGATTTAAGATTATTTATTTGATATGGGTTACTATCAATTAGGAAAATTCAATAAACTGAATGTGTTTGTAGATATATAATTGATGTTGGCACAAGTAAAACGATTATTCTGCCTTTATTATTTACTGTAAATTGTCTTTAATTGTCATATATCGCGTGTATGATGAATATCAAAGAATACTGCACTATATGAAATGAGATATTTAATTGTAATAAATACTTAAAGACTCTCATAGTACATCTTTCTATACTCGAATGACATTTATCTTAAAAATAGATTTTGATTGCATATCAAATAATAATCATTTCCATTTGTATTATTAAAGGATGTGACCTTCTCGTCTTAATATTCTAAAGAAGACATCCTTTGATTAGATAATCATTCATCGATTAAAGTCAATAAATGTTTTTTCCAATTATTGTTAAATAATCAAAAAATACAATATTATTTTTAGATTTACTTTCAGTATTCTTTTAGATTAGGTCTTTAATACTTAGGACATTGCATGAAAATATAAAAATGAATGCTTTTATTATATCATGTATTAAAAATCTTAATTGTACTCGAATAAATCAGATTTATTGCGAAAGAGATGTCGATAAAAGCTCTAGACTTTGTACAGAAAAAAAAAATTTATTATATTCATTACGAAATAATGTTATTTGAAGTAGGACACAATGTCTTCATAAAATATTCATATATAAATTTGTTTTTTGCGTTACAAACGACAAATTGTGTTTTCTAATCAAATTATATGCTAATCATTCTTTTAACATTACATAAAAACTCTTCGTTATAATAAACGATGGCATACTTAGAACATTAAAAGAAGTTTTCAATATCGTTAGCTAGAGAATTAATATAGGTTTTAAGAATCCAATATTTCCTAAAACTAAGATGCGAATAATTAAGGAAATATAGTTAATCAAGCACATGAACATATATTTCATACGTCGAAGTCTTCCGTTTGAATTTCCGTTTTCAACAACATTTCTGATGAAAATTAGTAAGATTAATAATTGAGCAAAAAAAATTATTTTCGAAGCAAAATATATGTTTACTTATTCCTACTGTTTATTTTTTAAATAAAACGATATCAATCATTAGAATATTGTGCATAGAATCACATATTCGACAATACATTTTGTTCAGATAAATTTCTGAGAACTTTTATATTATATCTAAAATGATGTTCATCTATTGATATATTACTTTGAAGGACACTTTTCAATGGATAAAAACATCTATACATATGAACTAAATGTTTGTCATCTATTATGTTTATCGTTAATCATCGTCACTTACAATAAATAAAAATCTACTTTCACATTCAGTATAGAAAACTATCATGATGAAGGAAACTTATACGTGGTAATTAATAAATATTGATACGATTAAAAGTCAGTATTTCATAATAATATAGAAGCAGTATATTCAAAATTTAGTTATTAACCTATGTGACCAGTCAGATTTTGTGACATCATCTGAAAATCATTTGTCGTAAAAATATTAGCAAAATACAAAGTTAATATTTACCTGATTTTGTTTCCGTGGTGGTGGATTGCGCAGTAAAGTGCATTGATGCCCGTAATTATATACAACATGTTGGAAAACCCATTAATTGCAGGACCTATTTTAGACAAAGTCATATGATATAACAGTTATCCACGCCCTCACTCACCCACCCAAATATCTTTTTTAGTTACTAAATCTAGTAACTAAATCAGCATCATTGCAACCCCTTTCGTATAGTTTCCCTAAAAATGCAGCTCACGTTCCAAACTATACACTGTATTAACGACCTAACACCGCTGCAGTTATTAATTTCTTTCAAGAAAAGTATTTAAAAAGGAAAGTGTTTGAGCGACAACTTGTATTCTTCAACAACAACATATTATACACTATTCGCGTCAGTGCAGAGTCAATTATAATCGATTTTTATCTGATCTTTTCGGTGTTTTTTTACATGGGCATGGGCATGTGAGATGAAAATGAATACTTTCTTATCTATCGATCAATCATGATTGTTTTTGTTCCGAGGAAGTGCGTGTTATCTAACCTTTATATTAAATGTGTGCTTCGTTGTTATTCGTTAGCTCAACACATTTAGATTTAGGACGCGTTTCGTATTGGTATATTTAGTGAGATTTCAACGATGAGATACAACAAAAAGCAGAGTGAAAGCGTGCATTATGCGAAATTGAGTGGCCCAAAGTCAAACAGACAAGTCACACGCAAGTACATTTTCATAGCAGTGATGGCGGCGATTACAATCGTTTTTTTTTCTACTTGTCTGTGGCGACTATTGCGGCGACGGTAAGTTAAGTGCTCGAAAAGTATTACATAGAATATTTCATTTCATTGGGCATAGCTCATCTCATTTCGATGGTGCAACTACGAAAATCAAATGTGTCACATGTTCTAATTTGACTTCAACGACAGTGTCTAACAAGAAAAACAACAGTACATCATTTTCAAAACCCCAGGATCTCGTGATGTCGAGCACTTTCCAAGTTAACAAGCATACTACAACACTTCAGAATATGGTTAATCAGCCTGGTAAATACTTTCTCATATTGATAAGGCTACAGCCTTTTGTCGTGTACTTATATCATTAGAAAAACTTGGTTAGTCTCGCTTCTGATCCACCTTTGAAAGAGTTTAGTATATTTCGTTTTTGCTAATCATTGACTACTTCTGAGTCTGGCACAGTTGCTATTACTAATAATAATCTTGGATATATCTCTTTTGCTCTTCCAACAAAGCTTACTGATGGGGGGCTCATATGTCGATGTATCAAGTCGGAGGAAGCTTGAAAGCTTAGAATTCTGGTTTTATTCCGAATTGATACTTGAAACGCTATCAGCACAGTCGTCATGCAACTGACTCATAAATATTGATCTATTTGTATTCTAGTCTATCATTAAATGTATCAAATAATTTCATTCTTTGTTTCAATTCATATTTGAAGTTCGTCGCATTGTATTGATTTGTCTATTCGTAGGTATATCTTACAATCTACCAAAGTTGTCTGCATGTGCATCTTGGAATCCAAATGGGCTCACTTTTGCAGACTACACCACCGTAGGCATGAACCCGTTTGCCGTGTTCGTTGATAAAAACAATACTGTCTACGTCAGCGATCAAAGGAACAGTCGTATTCAAGTGTGGCTCGAAGGTAGTGTCACTCCAACAAGAACGTTCTATGATCATGATTTAATTCATCCACTCGGTCTCTTTGTTACAACTAATGGTGATATTTTTGTTGCTTATTCTTCGCACAATCAAGTGCGCAAGTGGTCATGGAATACGATGAGCAGTATACCAGTAATGAATTTTAGTGCTTCTTGTTACGGGCTTTTTATCGACAAGAATAATGATCTATATTGTTCACTTTCGACCTCTCTTCAAGTTGTCATGGTAGCACTTGACAACAGTACGAATATGATAACAAACGTGACGGGTGATGGCTCTCGTGGTCGACCTCGTAACAAACTTGTGTACCATTACAGTATCTTTGTTGATGTTAATTTCAATCTATATGTAGCAGACTGTGCGAGTAACAGTATTATACGTTTTTCGCATCGACAGTCGAATGGAACCATCGTTGCCGGAATCGGTGCAGCCGTGAGCTTTCCGCTGTTTTGTCCAACAGGTGTTGTACTTGATGCTGACGGTAATCTATTTATTGTGGATAGTGGCAACAATCGCATTGTTCGAGCAGGACCCAACGGATTTCGATGTGTGGTTGGATGTTCGGAAAAACCTGGTTCTGCATCTAATCAATTGAAGTCCCCGCTTGCACTCAGTTTCGATAGCTATGGTAACATATTTGTCAATGATCAATTGAACCATCGTATTCAAAAATTTGTTCTTACAACAAACTCTTGTACTGATGAGTGACGTCGTAGACACCACAGATGAGAAACAGAAAAATAAGTACAATATAATCTATTTGAAAAAAAATTTACTTTAATTTCACCTCATTCAATAAAAATTATATATTCACCTATGTTCATTACTACGAATCAATATAATGAGTTAATTGCATTGGAAAATAGTACAGGTTGTTATTCAAGCAATCACAAAATACATTTTTAATCATATTTCTATACGGGTGTTGATAAAGATGTCGGCTAGGATGATATATCAATATCTTAATATCCATACACACACCCTCTAGATTTTAACTTATTTTAACCCAAAAAAAATCAATTATAACGGATTTTTAAAGTATAACCAATTATTTATCTAATTACGCCACTTCAATATCAAACAATATATAGGACTTTATCGCAGTGGCAACTTCATAGTTATGAAACACGGGCAATCTGAATAATCATAGGAAACGATAGGTTTTGGATTTGAATCCTAAGAAAGTACGTATTTTAGTAGATATGATTATATTTGATTATTATGGATTAAAAATCTAATGAAAGTTTGATGAAAATCGTGCCATTATAATCTGGTTTTTAGCCACTTTTTTCTACGTGGGTACTTTATAGTTCACTAAATTCTAATGAGAAATTATTTATTGTTTGCCTTTTTAATTAAATTTTCATAGTAGATGATCATACGAGGGGAATCAGCAGACTTCTGTATTTCTATGTTTAAAAAGAACATTTTTGTTCTATTTTTGGGAACACAATTTTTGACATCTCTCAACAACAGAATACTTTATTCTGTTTGTGAATGCAAATTAAAATAAAAAAAAATGTACTTCTTCGTACTTCAAAGGTGGAAGTTCGCTTATTCCCTCTGGTAATCATACAAATTGTAATAAACTATGTTGAAATGCCCGTCTCACTTTTAATAATAGACTTGTTTGGAATTTTTCCGCCAATCTTCACAATCCCTACTATCGTTTTTAATTATTTCCTCTTATGAGCTTAAATAGCATAATAAATTGAATAAAAAATTATCATGAACCATGCTGTCAGAAACTATAACAGCATAATTTTGATGCTTTTTGAAAATCATAATTTCTTGTACAAAAAGATATTTCATGCAAAAATAAAATGATAATTTTTTTGCATGCTTTCACGGAATAACATGCTTGAAAATACGACAAAAAACCAGACAGCTTAATTGATTTTATCAAAAGTAATACAAAAGACATATATCTTTATATATACATTTTTATTGTGTTCAAATACGGCTGGCGGTGTTATTTTATCTTTTTCAGGTCGATCAACAAATATTATAAGGATACAGGCTAAAAAAGATTCTGAGGAGAAGTTTTTTTCGGACATCTTTTATACTTCATATTCATTTGCTAGCATTATTCTATATTAAAATGTGGCTGATGATAAGAAAAGGCTGAGATCAATATTATCTGTTGTTATATCAAGTATTTATCTATTTACTGATCACTTAACAATATCTTCTTGATTTTTTATAATAAAGATAAAGATTCTCATTACTTTATTTTTTTATTATAAATTATAAAAATAAAGTAACACGACTGAAATGCGCTGTAGTCTGCGTTTAATGGAAAAATATTTCTATAGAAGATATAGCAGACAACCAACCAAATGCCAAGAAATAATTCCGTATTTTTCTGTTTACATTACTTTAATATAAAATATTTTATTAGCATAAAAAAAAGAGAAAAACATAATAATGAAGATGTCATTTGCATCGGTACATCAGTAATCTAATGTCATCATCATTTTTCACGCAAACTCTTAATTTCGTTACACAATATACATTCTATAGTGGTTGTGTTACATTTATATTGGGAATTATTGGTAATGCAATTAATATATTGGTTTTTAGTCAATTAAAACTTTTTCGAGGTAATCGATATGCTTTCTATTTAATTTTGGAATCAATTTCAAATTTTCTGTTTCATTTTGTCTTTATGACGTTAACTATTTTTACATCAATCTATGGTGATGATGGTACAGGACGGTTTCCTGCGTGGTGTAAATTACGCTACATGTTAGGCCCAACATTTGCAGTTATTACATATTATATGATATGTTTTACTACTATTGATCAATACTTTTCAACACATTGTCGTTATAATTTCAGACAAATATGTACAATAAAATCAACTCACATTTCTGCTTTTATAATAATTTCTATTGCAATTATTCATAGCATTATACTTGGATCATTCTTTGATATTCAACCATTAGTTGGATGTGTTATATCAAATGAAATATATCTTCAATATACAACATTCTTATATTATCCAGTTTTAATTGGTTTGTTACCCATTGTAATCACATTATTTTTCAGTTTATTAGCATATCGGAATGTTCGTCGAATAGTTCGTCGACAATTACCTATAGTTCGTCGTCGATTAGATCGACAAATGACAGCAATGATTGTTATACGTGTTGTGTTTTTCATTTGTCTGGTATTACCCTATAATATTTGTCGTATCTATGTTACTGTTTATCCTATTTCAAGAGATGATATGTTGAGATATGTAATTGTTCGATTAGTTCAAGCAATTACATTTTCTTTTTCCCAGGCAAATTATACGGTAATATTCTTTTCTTTAAAAATTCATATTTATGATGCTGTTTCTTTGTTATAGGTCGGTTTTTATCTCTTTATGATTTCATCATCCCGTTTTCGTCGTCAAGTAAAATATGTTATATTTAAAAAATTATGGCCACGATGTAAACAAGGGTGTTGTTTGAAGAATAATGAAGTTGTACCTGAAAATTTCGAAGAGTCAGGCAATCACAACATAAAACTTGAAGATGCCTCTTAAATAATTATTCTGTAAATAAATTTTGCCTTTATGATTTTAAATAAATTGAATTCTACGTAAATGTAATAAACATATACATATGCAATCAAAATTAAGTAAGGCAAGTTACTGATTTTTCAATAATAAAATGCAAATATATTATTCATTTGTAACACCAATAAGAAACCATAGGGTGGGTGTGAGTGTATATCATTTCTTAATCAACCCACACCCTAGTCATTCATGCTTGCTGAGATATATCCATGTCGTTGCATTTATTTGAAGTTATTTTTATTTCGGTGAACAAATGAAACAATTACTTTATTTTATATTACTTCTAAACTAGCCCTCACCGATACTCTGTTTTCAGTTCATTTTTATCATCCGTCTTTGTTTCGTTCTTACAGTCGATAACCAAGCACGGTATGTTATATGAGACAAAGTACAATATAGACCAATCATCAAAAGGAAATAACTGATAAAAATAAGTCTATGCACTTGATACACGGCTAGCTCGATCTTGAATGAGGAGAGTTTAAGAAGTGTTAATTTTCCACAGGGATACACTGCAGTCAATTCATGAACGTTTTCAATCGGAGAATGAAATGGAAATATGGACGAATAGTTGCATATGTTACGAAATACAACTTCGGAGGTGTATACTTTGGGACAATGCCAACGACGAGAAAATATCACCATAATTTTGTCAAGTTCAAATGGAGATCCAAAATCACCAAAAAATCTTTCCGAACGTTCTACTATATAACCAGCCTTGTATACAATAATTGATAGAATAGATTGATCAAAACGATGAGTTGTCGATGATCCTGAAGTAAGCGGAGCAATACAATCACTATTTAGAGAACATGCAATGAATGGTATCAGAATATTTTGTAAAAACCAGAATGATTTGTTGAGAAACCCAAAATGCATGCCGCTACTTGATAATACTTACCGATACTAAAACTACTTTTGCTCACATTTAATGCTACAAATGTTTGATCGTCAGTGTGATTAATAATGAATGTTTTCTGTCCTGTGAGAAAGTAGCCGTGTGTTTTGATTGCTTTGATAATTGGATCAAGTGATGAACGCAATTCACAACCAGCATCAAGATAGAAAATAGCTTTTGTCTTCCATCTATATTTCTCAAATGCTTCTTTCAATACAAGTGCTTTGAAAGCATAGAATTGTAGATCTGTTACGTGAGAGGGATAGATATCGAATGGGAAATTTTCGACTTGAACGTTGGTCATACATAATATTCGAGAGCGTTGTGAATTAGTCATACCAAGATCAAACACAATAATTGTTATATGTGGTTCATGATAGTGTATAGAACCGATAAGATTCTCTAATCTATCAACAAATCCAGCTGAAGCAGCTGTTACTATTAAAAGAACACGAGTATTCGTGTCAGTTAATATTATTGACTGATGATTATTGATTTTAGAGACGAAATTTCGATCGTGTGGTCGTTTAGCAGGTGTCAGTAATGTGTTGACTGATGATTTGAAAAGAATAAAGTATGCAACAGTAATAAATATGACATAAATACAAAAAGTACACAAAGCGACAGCTGTATGCCAATTATGTATGTTTAGAAGTCGATCAAAGTATTTTCTTTGATTTTGATAAAAATGCATGGAAAGAGTTTTAGTCTAGAAAAATATTTATTATGCTACAAATATAGCCATCCTCAAAAAATAACTTCGATGTCTATGCAGTCACATGGAATAAAAAACACATGTAAACGAACGAAAAAGAAAAAAGTAATCGTTTTTCTCTCATACTTAGTAACCATGTAGTAACGAACAATAAGGCATTTTCAGTTGTTTGGTATTGCCTAAGTGTACAATAGTTGCAGCAGATGCACACGAAAATTTATATACTGATATTTTACGTCTACTAGTTCTTGGACATGTTACCGCATATTTGTCTGAAAGTAGTTACAAAATCCAGACATTGAAAGAACCTTTCCATTTCCTGCCTAGAATTTCTCGTTGAAAAATACTTGAAACTGTTAGAAGAGATAGAACTTGAGTAGTAGAATCAGAGTTGTCATAGACTCAATATTCTAGGATGAATGTTTCTAGGAGATATTCATATTACAATGACTCTTTTGTATTAGCTTTTCTCTGCCAACTATCTAGTTCTTAAAATATGCTCACTTGATAGTGAAATTTTTTTGGAATATCTATCAGCATTTTTTCTTACGTAAATGCAATAAAACTTCTGCAGTAGAGTGAACTGTATATAAAATTCAGTGACACTTTATTCAACAGCAAATTTCACGACAGTGATCAAGATACGTAATTTCTCAGGGGCTTTTTGATTGCTTTTTTCACAAGTGAAGGCTGCCACGAACTGGTGAGCAAACAAAATATGTTTTACTCTCTGTAAATGATTCATCGAAATCAAACGATCACTTTTAGTCTTGTGTATAAATGAAAAGAAAACATAAATTCTGATTCACTCATGCAGTATTTTTTTCAAATGTTTTTTGAGTGTAAGAAAATGATATCTGCATCTTGAGTGTGTGAGTAGGTATAGGCGGATGTTTATTAGTTGTCTACATCCTCAAAAGCATTCACACCTTTTTGTAATGTAATTCAAATATATAAAGATAGAACATGACGTATTGGTATCAATCTTTATTTAAATGCAACGCCAACTACACACATTATACAATAAACCAAACACACAAAGTATTAATACTACTTTCCAACTCTCTACGTTTTTTTCTTTATCTTTTTACATGCAGTGACTCTTCCTCGCCATACAAAGAGATAGACAGTGTGCATAGTTATGATCTGAATGCAAGAGACATGAAGGATAATATAATATATATAAAGAATAAAGAAACGCAATATTTGGAAGATAGGTAAGTAGGATCTAAGAAAGATGAATAAATGAAACATATGGATTAGAAGCCAAATACTATCGGTACAGATTTGTTTACTAATCAGCACTCATGTCAACTTTGCTAATCAAAAGCAAATTTGACTAAAAATGTCCCAATATAACAGAGAAGATGTAGTGGAAAAAGGTTTCGTCCGATGTTAGAAGCTGATATTCGTCTCATTTGTATCAAATGAAGACTGCGTGCTCGAACAGATACCAAGACGTTTTTAACTGCAGGAGTATCATCAGTAATCACAATTTCTTCTTCAAGAATATCTCCACGCATTCGCAATCTGGAAACAGCAAATACACCGTTGAATTTAAATGGTGCCACAAGTACGTCATTCATCCATTGTACCGCCAAGGTTGCATCACCTTGATCGATATACAGATCATCGGCACCACGTCCTCGACATAAACGATAGTCTTTCGTAATCCGAACTGTGTCATTCTCTTTCATGATACCTCGTAAGGTTGTACAACTGTAATTCGCCATTGGATAGTCTCCAATCTCCAATGTCTTAGTCCAGCCGGCACCCATTTCACCTTCTGGATAGGCTTCAATCACACCGGACCAATTTCCAGTCCAATTGGTCTGACTTGCTCCAAATGGTTTACTTTTAGGCCAACCTGAATACACTAAAAGTTATCTGTTTCATGTAAACAAAATGCAGTATGAATATCATTCTATATTTACCATTAGTGTACTTGCATTTGGCAACAGCAACGAAAAGTAGAAAGAAGAGTAGACATAGTCGAAATTCGTCCATTAATACGAAAAAAACAACAGACAATTTGCTTTTAGCAACGAGCTGATTGATATAATACAAGGTTTTCTTGAGTAATGCGTCGGACTTTCGTGTAGTGTTTTTTCTCTATCTATAAGCACGCAAAATAAAACGTAAAGAAGGTGTAACATGCAAACATCTATTATTCAAACTCTTCATAAAAACACAATGTCAACAGACGGATATCCTTTCGAATGGCATTCCTCTTGTCTATTCCACTAAAACGTGATCTTTTTCCTCTCGATGTATTTTCTCTCTCTATCCGATATATTCTGAGAAGAGCTAGTTGATAGCTGTACCCAGTCAGAGTAAGACGTATTCGACAAATCTGAAGTATAACGTTATTGGATGTTATTGTGAATTAATCGATTAAATTACAACAAAAATATTTCAACGTATTGTTGAATCATTCACTAGAATACATTATTTGTTTGCTTACCGCAACGCAGTCCGGGTTATAAGAGAAAAGATAATCTTCTGATGTCTCTTTATCTGCTTGATTGCGAATATTAAATATAAAATCTACACCCGCGCTGTATCTTGGGTTTGTTTGAAAGAAAAGTCGATAGATGTCCTCTAGACTATGCTCTTTCCAATGATACAATACTGAAATATATGGGATACTTGTATACACTATGATAATGAAACTAAAATTAATGCAACACTTTGACATTCTCGTAACAGAAAATACTTCTAATAGATCAATTCATATTAACTTTCAATAACGTTATACTTTGAATCTTACGAGTACGTCTTACGCTAAGTGGATATAGCTATCAACTAACTATTCTTAGAATATATCGCAAAGAGATAATAAAAGAAAAGAAAAGAAGAGAAGCGAGACATGGATAAAAAGGCAAGAAGAGAGAAAATACATCGATAGGAGAAAAAGGTCACGTATTATTGGCATGCGCAAGAGGAATGTCGTTCGAAAGGATATTCGCCTATTATCTTGAAACGCCTTCTTATCTAATTCAGACACGCTTCCGAGCGTCAATATAGCGTAGAGTATACGATGACAGAATGATAAAAAACACTGTATATATTTCAGGCACAAAGAGAATAAGAGAGAAAAATCGGGTGTGGGTGTGGGTGTTTTTATTATCCCACACCTATAATAGTAAAACCCTGAGAAGTGTTTTCGAGTAATGCTGAAGTAAAAGATCCTACCAGAATATATTGAGCCAGAAAAATTCTTTCTAAATAAATTTTTTGAAAGGCTTTCGAAGAAATTAATCGTATCAATTATAAATAAAGCAAATTTTATTTTTATCTTAGATCTATATAAATTTGAATAACATAATATTTTCTATACTCAACTATTTCTATGATGAAGAGTTGAAATCAAATTCGTATCTCATCTATGATTATATGTATATTCGTTTTTGCTTCAGTCAATACATGTGAAATAATAATTAAGAATGAATACAATAATTCTATCTTAGACATTTTGATATGAACGAGACAGTTACTTTCTTTGAGATAATCAAATAAAGAATATTATTTGTTGCTTAGATAGTGTTTAGAAGTTACAGGGTCTGTTCTGTACAAATAATTTCAACTGAAAGGAAAATCAACGGTGATCTAATTTGAGAGAGAACAAAATTAACAGCTAGAATCCTGACAAATTAACATTCAATTTCCACTTTTTCATGCGTTGCTAAATATGTGATTCTATGCACAATATTCTGATGGTTGATATCATTTTATTTAAAAAAAACAGTAGAAATAAGTAAACATATATTTTGCTTCGAAAATAATTTTTTTTACTCAATTATGAATCTTACTAATTTTCAAGAGAAATGTTGTCGAAAACAAAAATTAAAACATTCAGATTGAATATAAAATAATACATTCGATTTGAAATCTTTATTCTAACAAATAATTCTATATAATAAACAATACAACGTAGTTTTCTTTTAATATATTTATTGTGATATTAGCACATTGCTTATAATTTAATATTTTGTTGAACCTTATTAATTGTTCCTAATTTTGTTTGATTCATCTGTTTGGAAAAATTTGGCGCTACTCGAATTTTCCACCATGTTATTCGTCGCCATATTAGAAATAAACGTTCTTTCAAAATTCTACGAAACAATTTACTTGTTAGTGTATTAATAAAAAAACTTTTGCAGAAATTAAAATAAAATATATAACTTGAGATTTGTAATGATAATGATTCGACTTCATAACGATAATTATCTTTTGTAATATTTGTCGAAAGTACTGTGTAAGAATAATAGGCCGTGCGGATATTGAGTAAAATTGAACTACATATAACTTGTACTAATGTAATTTTAATCATTTGTATATCAGTTCGGTTACGTTGTTGTTGATGTATAGAATGCTTAGATGATTGAATAAGACGTTGATGACTTTTTCTAATATTTAAATATGTTACAAATCCAAATATGAGTATTGCACTTTGTGGAATTAAACTTGTCCAAATAATACTATACATTGATAAAAAATAAGAATATGTACCTGGTAGTGGAGTACATTCTGGTTGAAGAACAAAATATATAAACTGATGTGAAGTTGTAAGACTATATAAAATAATAGGTATACATGTCATTCGATGTGCTATTTTAATATGGCTAAATGAACGAAGTCGTGCATTTGTCGATGTTGATAAACATCGATCAAGTGAAGCCAGAACTAGATAACCTGTTGCAAAACATGGTAATACCCATGTAAAATATGTACGTATCTTACACCAAGCAAGACTTGTATCTTGTAATGTACTACCATATTGTTCACTTGATAGTTTTGTAAATATACCAAAATTGATAAATATAAAATCAGATAAAGCAGACATTAAGAAATACCATCCACATGAATTTTGACGTAATTGTTTTGCTGTAAATGTTAGAAAATTACATATACATCCAATATTTCCTAAAACTAATATAATATATGGAGTATAATGTGAAATATAAGCTGTGATTATTTGAAGTGTTACGATATCCATCCCTTCTTATAATGTAATGTATTCATATGTAATAATAGCTATTCTTTTGATGAAATAATGTTTTTACTTGGCTGATTGTAATGATATATACGTCAAATGCTTCGTGTAACACTAATCTTTCATTATGATTTATATCTTTTTCATGATCTTACTTAATAATAACTAATGCAATTAAAATATGACAAATTCTAGTTATAAATGATAGAAAACGGTAACTACAAGCATCATTAGTATATGGGGTTTATTATGAACAAGGTCCCATAATACAAATACTTCAACAAACCAGTATATAATTCATTAACCTGCTAATTTATCACATATTGAAGCAGCTGCAATACCACTCGCTTTTCTTATAGCTTATATTGAATTTAGTAATCATATAAAACAAGCTTATGAAAGTTCAGATAGATTTTAATAAATAAATCAAACGAAATCTAACGCCCTCTTTGATCGTAATGTATTCGATCGATTATTAACAAATGAAATGTTCGTAACTATATTACACACTATACATATCGATTTTCTTTTCATTTTTAGAATGCAAAAATCTCCGACAGTAGCTATTATTGGTGGTGGTATAGCTGGACTTGTTTCAGCTTATTATCTTGCTCAAAAAGCAACACTTTCAAAAATTCCTCATTTACGTATACTACTTCTTGAAAGATCATCACGTTTTGGTGGTTGGATAAGATCTGAACAACTTCCAACAAAATATGATTCACATATATTTGAACTTGGTGCACGAACATTACGATTACAAAGTGGTGTTGCTTCTTTAAGTAGTCATTCAGCTATAAATACATTAAAATTACTTGAACAATTAAATATATTTGATAGTCAATTTTGTCCAATTGATAAAACAGCTCCAGCTAATAAAAATAAACTTATTTATTATAATAAAAATTTAGTTAATTTAAATGATTTATCATTTATATATGGTGGAAAACCATTACGTTATCCACCTATTGTCTATGGTCTATATGAATATTTTTCACAAAAAGGACGATATGCGGTTCAAGACGAAAGTATCAAATCATTTATTTATCGTCGTTTTGGTAAATAAATATATACACATAGTTTATTTTTTATGCAAAGAGATTGTATAATATTTTTTTTAAATAGGTGATGTTCTCGGTGAAGAAATTGTTGAATATCTATTAGATCCAGTTTTAAAAGGTATATATGCTGGTAGTGTAACAAATTTAAGTGCTCGAAGTGTATTAAAAAAAGTATTTGAACTTGAACAACGTCATGGTTCATTATTACGTGGTATGTTAAAGACAAGAAATAATAAACAAAAAGAAGATCCCATACATAATCTTTTTAATGATTTAAATTTAAAAGATTATTCATCAATATTAAATAAATATGCAATTTATTATTTAAAAGATGGAATGGAAATGCTTGTAAAAACATTAGTTGATCATTTAAAATCATTATCAAATGTTGAATTAATATCTAATCAACATATTCAAAAAATTAAATTTTTAGAAAATAATGTTGAAATTTCAACACGATCAAATGAAATCTATTCAGTTGATCATTTAATTAGTGCAATGCCATCGTTTGAATTAGCTAATCTTCTTGACGATAAACAACATGAAATTTTACGATCAAGATTAAATCAAATATCATTTGTTAATATGATTGTTATTAATTTACTTTATTTAAAAGAAAATATTTTTCCAAAAGAAGCTTTTGGTTATTTGATTCCATCACGTGAACAATCAAATTTACTTGGAGTTCTATTTGATTCATGTATACGACATACAACTGATAAACAAAAACATGGATCACAATTAACTGTTATGATGGGTGGAGCATGGTATGATCAATTAAGATTAGGACAATGTACAGATGAACAATTATTGGATATCGTTACAAAAGAATTAAAAAAACAAATGAATTTAGATGAAAAACCATTAGTTTATTCAATAGGAAGATTAAATAAAGCAATACCAGTATGTTTATTCGATTACTATACTTATGAGGGAACCACGCGAGGTGTCAAAAAGCTTTTGCGCTCAAATTCTGTCCATACGTAGAGAATATATCGGCTAGAAAAAGCCTAAGATGATATGTGCGCAAGCTGGGATATCGACTTTTTACTAGAATTTTCCTATGGGATCTCATTTTCACATTTTTTAGACTTAGCATTCTCCAGGTACAATGTTTTTGAAATGTTCGTTCATACAATAATATCTATAAAAACTGTGTTTATACTAACAGACTCACATCTCGAGAATGCTAAGTCCAAAAATTGTGAAAATGAGATCCCATAGGAAAATTCTAGTAAAAGGTCGATATCTCAGCTTGCGCACATATCCTCTTAGGCTTTTTCTAGCCGATATATTCTCTACGTATGGGCAGAATTTGAGTTCAAAAGCTTTTTGACACCTCGGGTGGTTCCCTCGTTATACTAAAATACTATATCATATTTTTGTATTTTTAGAATTACAATGTTGGACATCAAGATGTTCTTGATGATATTTATGCTATTATACGACGTGATAAATTACCATTAACACTTGTTGGAAATTCATATCGTGGTGTTGGCATTAGTGATGTAATTTATGATACTCGAGTTGAAATGGAATATCTTAATTTAAACTCTACAGAAGCAAAACAGTGAGATTTAGATGTTTTTTGTTAGATTTCATACGTTCGATAGAGTTTGTTTTTGATATGAAAATCTTACCTAGTTTAATTCATTTTAGATAAAATGTACACATTATTTATAGTATCGAGTATATTTCTTTCATTTATTAATGGTGGTTTAACCATCGATTGTCCAAATATACCATCAAAATGGTGTGAAACAAAAGAAATTGCTCAAGCTTGTGGTGTATGTAAAGAAAATTTATCTCGATTATTTAAATTCTTCTTCTTATTAGGTAACTGAACAATGTACAACATATGTTTGGAAAACTCGTGTGGAAAATGAACTTGTAAATTTATCGATTTATTATGAAACACTTTGTCCTGATTGTAGACAATTTATAACAACACAAGTATGGAATACATATCAATCAATACTTGATATTGTTAATATAACATTTGTTCCATATGGAAATGCAAAAGAATTATATCGACCAGAAACTAAACTCTATCAATATTATTGTCAACATGGTGCTGAAGAGTGTTATGGGAATTTAATTCATGTAAAAAATTTAAAGATAATCTTTTTTGTTTAAAATAAATTTAATTTTAGGCTTGTGTTATTAATTTTTATCCAAAAACTGAAGAACATATGGTAATTTTAATTTAATTTTTATATACAGAAAAAAAATATTAATTGAAATTTTCTTAGCCATTTATTTATTGTACTGAATCAACTGATGGTGATATTGAAACAGTTGCAACTCAATGTGCACAAAAATCAACAATTGATTATGATCAAATTACTGCTTGTACACATAGTCGTTTAGGTAATCAATTACAACATGCATATGCTGTTCAAACTGAAAGTCTTCAACCAGCACATCAATATGTACCTTGGATAACACTCAATGGTGAACATACAGAAGATATGCAAAAACAAGCTGAAAAAGATCTTATTGGCCTTATTTGTAAATCATATAAAGTAAATTAAACATTGATTTTATTATTTCATTAAAAAAATCATTCTTTTATTTTCATCTAGGGATCTGATCCACCTGCTCAATGTATGAAAAATCTCTAAAACAGTTCTTATGTGATCTTTCTATTTTTTTATATATGATATGATTAACCAAGCTAACATATTATAAGGATAATAAACTACTGATTTTGTTTTTAAAAACATCAGAAAATTAAAGTTAGTCTTACTTCTAGCTAATTTAAGTAAGCCGAATTTCAAGTTTATATAATAGCGTCAATATAAGAAGATCGATGAAGACGCATTGAATCTCATATGTTGTTGATGAGAAATATTTTAAACTCTTTGTTCTATTCTTTCTCACATGTTGTGTTTTGTATGGCTGGATAGATAACATAATTTGCTGAATAATCATGATATATTCTTTCTTATATAAAAGATTGTCATATGATCTTATCTCATCATTTTTCCAACTTTGTTTTTTTCTAATCATGTACGTGCTGTTGATACTTTCAAGTATTTTAATTCTTTGTGCTAATGGTGGTTTAATTGTTAAATGTCCAGAAACACCTTCAAAATGGTGTGAAACAAAAGAAATTGCTCAAGCTTGCAATGTATAAAGTCTTGTTTCATTTAAATCAATAAATATTTTTGTGCTGTTAGGTAATTGAACAATGTCAATTATATGTATGGAAAGTTCAAGATAAGAATGATAAAGTTAATTTAACACTTTATTATGAAACACTTTGTCCTGATTGTCGAAAATTTATGACAACAGAACTTTGGAAAGCATATCAAACTATATTTGATATTGTTAATATAACTCTTGTTCCATATGGAAATGCACACGAAACATATCAACCAGTAACCCAACTTTATCAATATGTTTGTCAACATGGTGCACAAGAATGTTTAGGAAATCTTATTCATGTAAAATCATAATAATAAACAAAAAACTCGAAGAATATTATATTTATTTATTTTAGACGTGTGTTCTTAATTATTATCCAACTATTCAACAACATATGGTAAAAATGAAAATAAATAACCTATAAAAACAAGTCACGCTCGTCCGAGGACCCGCTTAGCTCTTTCTCATAGAAATGCATCGTCTTCACATTTACTGAAAAAACAAGTGAAAACCGTAAAAATAGATTTTCGATGTTTTTTTGACCCTGCGGACAGACAAGCACACAATTTATGTTTACAGGACTCTTCTCTACGAGAAAGAGAATAATTTTTTCTTTTTTTAGCCATTTGTATATTGTACTGAATCAAGTAGTGGTGATGTTACAACTATTGCTAGTCAATGTGCAGAAAAATCTAAGATGGATTTTAATAAAATTTTTAATTGTACACAAAGTAAATTAGGTAATCAATTACAACATATATATGCAGTTCAAACAGAAAATCTTCAACCACCGCATAAATATGTCCCATGGATAACAATTAATGGTCAACATACTGAAGAAATGGAACATGAAGCAGAAAGAAATTTAATCAAACTTATATGCAAATCATATAAAGTAGTATAGAAAATAATTTTCTAATTCATTTTCAATTTATTTTTCTTCTAGGGATCCAATCCACCTAGTTCATGCAAAAAATAATCTATACAACCGAAAAGAAACTATCTAAAATATGTTTTTTCATTGTACCCTTCATTTGATTCTTAATAAAATACAAAGAGAAAAGGTTATAAGTTAAAGTTATTTGATTATTTCTTTTCGTTCTTATATATATAATAGATGAAAAGAACATCAAGCATTTAGATTGATAAAAAAAATTGTAAATTATGACATTTACACAATTAGTAAGTTATCGAAATAATCTCTCGGTTTCTTTTTTTTCTTATTACAAATATTTTTCAGAAAATGTATTCAAAATGGAATTTAAATCAATATTTAACTTATCTTCTATTAACACTTGTTTTTCTTTCATCATGGACAGATATCAATGGAATCTATGCTGAATTACCACAAATTGTTTTAACACAACCTGAAAGTTGGAAATTAGGTGCATATCTTGCATTAATTACAAATCTTGGAAATATTGCACCATTTATATTAGTTCTTATAAAAGTTTTCTATCGAAAACATACACTTAATCCTGTACCAATTAATTATATTGTTATACTTATTGGAATGCTTTCATGTTTTCTATTGATTTTCTTTTGGTCATATACAACAATGATTGGTAATGAAAAACGTAGTACAGCATTATTAATACTTGCATTTTTTCTTTCATTACTCGATTGTACATCATCAATATCATTTGCTGATTATATACATCGATTTGGAAAAGAATTTACAAGTAGTCTTTTTCTTGGAGAAAGTCTTACAGCTATTTTACCAAGTTTATTAGCAATTATACAAGGTAATGGTCAAATTAATTGTATACAATCAACGAATGAAACAAATACTACTATACCTGTTTATCAAACTGCTCGATTTTCTGTATCAATTTATTTTTTATGTTTATTTTTATTTTTGACAATTTCATTCATCGCATTTGTATTATTACAATGGACATCAGTTGCTAAACAAATACAACGGATAACACCTGAAATATCATTAGAACCAATGAATACAAATCATCAAACAAATAAATCTTTAACTACTGTATCGTATATTTTACTATCATTAGGATGTACTTATACGAGTTCAATTCTATTTGGAATGATTTTATCAATTTCAACATATGTTTTAATGCCATATGGACATCGAATATTTTATCTAGGAACAATTATATCACCATGGATGTTAACACTTGTTTGGATATTTGGTTTAATAAAACCTTTAATATCTAAACGTTATCTATTAATTTTAATTATACTTGGATCGATTACATTTGCATTTAGTTTATTTGTTTCATTTAAAAGTCCTTGTCCACCATGGGTTGATACAACTAAAGGTAGTGTTCTGATATTAATCATATGGCTTAGTACTTATATTTTATTGGGTTATCCACGTTTGGTTATTGCAAATTATGTACGAATACATTCATCAAATGGAATGTTTTGGTATGGTGTTAATGTACAATTAGGTGCATTAATCGGTTCTATTATTGCTTATCTTTTAGTAGAAACATTTTCATCATTTCATGAACGATTGCCATGTGAACAAATGACTTGTTAAAATAATTTTTTTAATAATAAATCTTCCGAGAAATATTCACAAATTATATGAATAATCCTTAGTAGGTTACAATAGAATTTAACAAGTAATATTTATTCTATTGATTAATAACATGAATTATAAACTAATGCAATACTACTATCGGAATTTTAAAAGAAGGCCGGTGGAAGCAAAGCTTACAACGTTTGAAAGGAAAATCATAGCGATCTGCGGTTTTCGCCATTCAGTAGAGAGCCGTTGGAGGCACATGCATATGCATGAGAAATATTTTACCAAAGTACCATCCGTAGCTAGTTTTAAAATTTTTACATACTGGATTCGTCTACTAAAATTAATTTGAAAAGATACTTTGAAAATTTTTTTGTCATGCATAGACATGTACCCTCGACTACCCTCTATTGAATGGTAAAACCGGCAGGTCGCTATGACTTTCCCTTCAAACATTATAAGTTTTTCTTCCACCGGCCTTCTTTAAAAATTTCGATGGTAGTAGAGATTTTTAAGGCATTGTGATAACATGAAGAAATAGATAAATCAATAATTAAATACAAACGTCATTCAGATTTAAACTGAAATAATCAACTAATGTTCGTTGAGTCCTCCAGAACTGTCTAAAAATTCTAGAGTTTCCAAAAACCTTCCACCACCTTTCAGAACATTCGGAGGGCTTGATTTTCATATCATACATAGCCGACTTTGTAAATGAGAAAACACCGTACCATATGCACGTTTATGAATAAATATGTATATACTAAAATCTAATTAAAAATCATTCCTTTGATGTACTATAGATATATAATTCTTATCTTATTCGTTTCTTAAATTAATGCAATCATATAATTTCAGAACAAGCTTATACCGTAAGATAAGCATGTATACATCACTGTTGAGTCCGAAATGATTTTGACAAAATTTAAATGTTTATAAACCCGGTCGAAATTGGTAATTTAACAAGTCTAGAAATTCAAAGCTGTCTAAATGTCTACTATAAATTCGTGACAATAGTATTTTTAAATTTGGTAAAATCATATTCCATCATGAGGATGTTATATACTCATATTGACACCTAAAATAATAAAAATAATTTAATCACTCCGGTTTATCAATCAGTTCAAAATTCTTAAACTAGTCAGATGCTTACACAATATACTCGCATTTATTTATCAAATATTTGTTTATAAGTAAGCTAGATGTATAAATCACCGACGTTCGGACTCAACAGTGGTATACATGTCATTAGAATCGTTTATATTATTTCGTATATATATCTAAAACATAAATATAATTTATTTCTAAACAAAAAAAAAATGTAATTTGACAATTTACTGAACTTTCGCTTTGTTTTTTGTTTATACTAATCTGTCAACAATAAAGAACATCTGGTTTGTAACTAGTTAATTACTTTTCGTTCAATTATCTAATCACTCAATAAGTTTTACATAATACTCAGTAATATATGTATATTAATCGTTATTTTCTTTCATCTAATTAAATTGATTGATATTAACCAGATCTTTCTTTTCTTTTTTGTTGATATATAAGAAGAATAGAATAATTAATTTTTAATTGATTTCTTAATATGACAATTGTATTCTAAATTATTTACTCTTCGTTAAAGAAATAAAACAGATTTTATTTCATTTATTATTAAATCTATGTACAAACACCGGCAACATGCTGAAAAAGAACAATACAATGATAATATTTATTATAAATTATTGTTTTGTACAGATAAATCATGTTGTTGAAGATTATCATGACGATTTAATTCTGATTGCCAAACAGTTTGTGGCCAACCTGTTCGTCCTTTTGTTTTACGTGTATCAAACTAGAAATTTTTCGAAAAAACATTCTAATATTAATTTTTGTTATTTCGATATAATTTTACTTTTATTAAATCACGAGAATCTTTCCGTGTTTTAATTATTTCAGCTTTAAATGCACTTGGCATGGCTGTTGAATCATCTTTTGCTAAAATATCCATTAAAAATTCAATATATTTTGTTGCTAATTTAAGTGTTTTAATTTTTGATAATTTTGTATCTGGTTGAACATTTGGTATAGCTGTACGAAGATCGGAAAAAGCTGTATTTATTGATAATGTACGGCGACGTTCTTTTTTATTAGCTGAGACACGTCGTTTAAAAATACGAGGAATACCTATTAAATGAAATATCTTCTATACTCGACAAAAAAGAACATCATTTATCTACCTGGTGGTCTTTCATGATTAATTTCATTTTCATTCCAATTTGAATTATAATTAAAATTTTGTATTGAATTATGATTTTCAAATGAATATGCTGGATAATATGATGGCGGTATTCGACTATATGGATGATAATGTGTATTATGATTGAATATCATAGACGAAGATGATGAATTAAGATAATCATTGGGTGAATTGAACATAATTTATCTTATATGAATCACCTGTATATAGAGTCTGACTGGAATAGAAGTCTGTTATTCGTCAATGTGATATGTGTATGTATGTTGGACTTGTAACTATATTTTTTTTTCTTCTTCTTCTTCTCATCCAATGATAGAAAGAAAAAATATTTCCTGTTTTCTTACTGTGATATTATTAAGAAAAGCAATTTCGATTGGTTATTCATTGAAGAATATTGAGGTGATTTGATATCATACGAATTATTGAATATAATGATGAGTAGTTAAATAGAGTTTCCGTTTTTTTTTTGTTTCGTTATGAAAATGATATTTTCTATTTGACCTTCTCTTTAATATGTATATCGATGTCTGCTGTCTTTTGTAATTGAATAAGACTGATCATTTCAATTATAAATAGATAGACAAACGCAAAACAACATCCAATGGGAATACTAACATTTCTTCGATAAACATCGCTATATATGGTATGATATTTGTTTGTTTAACAATCTTGTTTGATGTAGATGCTTTAGCTAGACGATTATCAGTTTCCGATTGTTTTCACTAACGAAAATAAAAGAAGATTGTGTTTATAATTCAATCATACCAGATTATCGATAATGATTACGTACTAATATTCTTTTTTTTTGTGTCTTGAAATTGAGATGAGAGTAGTAAAGGAAGCGGCATTGATTTCTTGTTCTTTTCGAAACAATGAATTCGTTTGAAATAATATAATAATTTTCTCCATAAAAAAAACAGATATGTTAGAGCATCTGCTTATATACATGATCATATATCTTTGATGTTTTAATACAGCATTGAATGTACTCAATTCAGTGGTGGATCTAGGATTTTGGAAGGAGGGGGGGGGGGGATTGACAACTGTGCAGAAAAGTTCATCATGGAAAAGGGTTATTCCAGATTTCTGAAAAAATGCTCGACCTGTACTCCCCTCCAGGTATTTCAGTCTGGGGAGGGGGGGATCGATCCCTCCCTCCGGACGTCCCTGGGGGAAGGGAGCGACTTTTTAGTATGGAGGGACGATCGCCCTCTAAATCCGCCACTGGCTCAATTAAATAAATTTTACCATCTTATAGTGACATCATAAACATGGTATCTCTTTTTTTTATTTGTTCTATAACGAATCATTATAAATTCTTTATGTATGTATTTATTTGAAATTATTGAGAATGAATATTGTTGGTGCAATATTTCCTCTTGGAAATTTTTTCAATCAAAATAATTCTGAAAAGACTTGTTTTTCGGAATGTTTACAATCAAATTTTCCATTTGCTCGAACTTGTTTAATTCGTGGTGATGCTGATCAATGTTTTCGTTCGTTACTTTTTCAAGCATCTCTATCTTATGCTGCAATTGGTAAACGTGTTTATTTTTATACACCAATACCATTTCAAACGATTCCATCACTTGTTCATTCATTAATACCAACATCATTATCAACAGCTAATTTACATTTAATTCAATTTCATTATCTATTAACATTAGTCGAAATACATAAACATTTAATATCAAATTCAAATAATTATGATATTATTATTATTGATGGTTATCTTGAATATCCATTATTGAAACAAGAAGATTTATTTCAAATTATTTCAGCTTGTGCATTATTAAAAGATACATATGAATATTTAAAAAAATTACATGAGAAAGATTTAGTATTATTATGTTCATGTACATGTGCTGAATCATCAATGGCAAATGTTGAAGAACGAGCATTATTTGATCTTGCTATCGATATTGAAATGTTTGAAGATGGAGATTATCATGCAAAGATAAATTTTTTTTCAAAAAAAAATATTTCATGTGCTTTTAAATTTCGGATTGGTCGAAATGAAATTTTACCATTATATGCAACAATTGAACATCAAAATAAATAATTTCGAACCTGTAAAATTTTGTTCTATATACCAAAAATGAAATTAGACTTTAATATAAAAAAAAAGATTGATAATAAAAGAGAAATAAAGATGAAAGAAGAATTTTATGTTCTTTCAGTAACCAGTAAGAACTAGCTACACTAGCATTCCGTTGGAATCAATTTCTTTTTAGTCACGGACTATAACTATAATCCAGAATTATGAATATTTCGTTCCAATGATTTTCGAATTACAAATAAGATGCACATATTCTTTATTATCACGAATAAAACTATTTATACGATAAATATTTCATGCTGCTTTAGAAGAAAATGATTGTAACATTATTTGTTATAATAGATTTACTTCCCAGATCGTATTAAATATAAGAAAGATGTTTGGAAGATCTTTTCTCTATTTTGTATGTATGAAAACTTATGAAAAAGAGTAAAATTTCGAATATTTTTTTAAAGATGCATTATTGAAACTTTTTCGTAAACTATATGAACAAATCTAGATTGCACAATGGAAAAGGCTTTCGTTTTGAACTATGACAAAAAAGTAAGAGAACAAAATCATCAAAAAATTGATCTTACAATTTTTTGTACAGTTTTTTACTATAAAACTTTTAAAAGAAAAAATTAAAATTTTTATCATTGATTTATGTTGGCATGTTATAGCAAAACAAACTATATTGCAATTAGTTTTTATTCGTTTTCTGCAGAAGATGGTGAATAAAGTTCTAAATTAATATGAGAATCACAACTTCATCCACAAACTGTATTGAATTGAATTATTAAAAACCGAGAAGAATAAATTCAATATATTTCTTTGAAACACCAATGATTCTATTTGATTAATTCTTATCCTTATAAATACGTAATATGTGTTAGTTATTTATGCACTATTTTGTTTATAACGCTTGGTTGAATCTATTCTATTGTCAGCTTTTTCATCGTATATTATATATAGACGTTATTTATCAAGCAAATTACATCTTAAAACAATGTCGTTCAGTGCATCTTTATCACGTGATAAATTATTTAGAGCTTCTTCTGAACATGAATTCATTCAATTGGTATCTAATGGTCAAATTAAACAGCAACAATTTGATAGATGGTTAACTCAAGATTATTTATTTGTTAAACATCTTTGTCGTTTTGTTGCTCATGTACTTGTTAATGCTCCTCGACAGGATTATAAAATATTAATTAGTGGTCTTTCAACATTAGAAGAAGAATTAACTTGGTTTGAAAATAAATTCAAAGAAAAAAATATTAATATTGAGGATATTAAACCATTACCTGCTAATCTTAATTATCAAAATTGGATAAGTGAATTAATCTCATCTAAAAAATCTTATTTGAGTTTAATTACAACATACTATGCTATAGAGATCTGTTATTATCAAGCTTGGAAATCAGTAAAAAATCGCGATTATCAAGAATATGCTGATCGATGGGGATCCAAAGAATTTGAACAATATATTGATCAACTTCGAGTATCTGTTGATAATGCATCGGTAACAGCTTCTGATGATGATAAAAATGATGCATCTCATTTATGGAATACTATTATGGAATTTGAAATAGATTTTTGGAATATGGCGATTAATGAAACATCATAATGTTATCATTTTTCTTCTTAATAAAATAAAACAAGTGCACAGAAACATCTGTTTATCATTTTATAACCGAAAGTAGATAATGAGTGTGGATATCTGTGTGATGCGACTAGTATTTACCTTCACACCAACACCCAGACTCACATTCTAAAACATAATTGTCTTCATGATTCTTATAGATGAGTTTCTTTTACAAAACTGATTAAATATCTGAGATGTTATTCTTCAAATAATTAAATACAAAATATTTTGTGCAGATAAATTTTTTTTTGCCGTTTTCAGGAAACTTTGCTTTTCCTTCTTCAAGTTATGATATTCAATGTTGTTTTTTTATTTAGAATAACATTAAATTTATTCGGAACCAGTTTGTTTTCACATCCTTCCTTAAAATTTTAAATATCATGATTATTTACTATATTAATATCTGATAATAAGTGACATTTGGCATAAGTTTGTTCACAAATTAGTTTAACAAAAAGGAAATAAACTTATTGTTTTTATTTATCAATTATTTCAATAAAAAAAAATTATATTGACGTCATTATGTAGGCGAATAGAAAAAAAACTTGTTGTTTTCATTGTCTTTAATTTTCAGTCAGATATTTCTCTTACTTTAATAAGTTATTCCGAGAATTGGATAAAAAAGAAAAACTTGTTTTTATTCAATTTTATAGGAATAAATGTTATAAGAAAAGGTAAGAATTTACGCATAACAACAAATAGAAGGATTTCTTCGTAACATATTCTATTCTTAGTCTGACATGTTGTGCTATGACAAAAAATATAAAACTTCAAATAAAGACTAGGGAAAATCATTGTAATATATTGAGAGTGCCGACGTCTTCTTTTAGCATTCAATCTCATCCACATTCCCAAGACTACTTCGAAATATCTTTGGAAATTTAAAAAAAAAGTATATTTATTCAGTCATCAAGCATTGACTGACACTTATCATAGCCTAGGACTGTAAGTGGGTCTTTATTGACCATTACTTTGATTCTCTACACTCTCTCTCTGATCCTCGTGTTTTTATTTTTACTTCATTTTAAATTTTTTTGGACAAATAAAAAAAGAAAAGTAATTATCCGTTTCTTTTTTACTTTATTATTTTGTGACAAACAATACATAATAAATTAATGAAAAGAGTCTTTCCAAAGATGATTGCATATCTTCAATTTAAAAGCATAGATGAAATCGTTTCTAAACTACTAAAAAGATCTCTTTTCTTTACTCTAATGAATTCCTTAACATATGTTAAGTCTTTACTTTCTTTAATGTTATTTCTGTTGTTGCACAAAGAAATTCTAGAATGTTAGAAACGTGTTCATTATATGCTCAGAAAAAAAAAGATAAAGCAATATTTTTATCTCTAGATTAATACTACATAAAGTTTAAAAAGAAAACTTATTTTACTTCACTCGGCGGAGAATGGAGTTTGTATCATTACTAGTGTTGCTTATATCTTTTATTATTATTGTTGATGGTCATTATTTTGTATACTATTCTGATGATCGATATGGATTTAATGCAACATTTGATTGTTTATATGCCTATTCAGGAGATCTATCAGCAGATACAACGTTAGTATCTACTGTTGATTACAGTTTAATTCCTTATTGTCGACGACTTGATGAAACTGACGAGGAAGAAAATTTCACTATTATATCGTACGAGAATATTTTAAATAACATGACGTTTACTGAATTATATCGACAAGGTATAACAAGTACGCAATTACTCGCATGGTCAGTACCAATCGATATTATCGAACGATATGAAAAAAACGGTCAAAATTCGAATGAAATATTTTATAACTGTTCTTTACCATGGTTTGGTTCAACGTGTCAGTATAGATTTGAATCTGCTATATTACCTTCATTTAATGAAGTTCTTCAATTTCATTATAGTACTAATGGTATACCTTCGACATACATCTATTCGAATACATGTTATCCATTTTTACCTGACTGTTATCGTGGTCCATCACCGATGTGTCTTGATTGGCATGAAATTTGTGATGGATATTTTGATTGTCTCAATGGAGAAGATGAGCAATTATGTGACATATTAGAAGTGAATGAATGTTTCGAGAATGAATTTCGTTGTCACTTCGGTGGTCAATGTATTTCGTCCGCATTTCTTCGTGATGGAAAAGCAAGTACTGATTGTCTTGATGGTTCAGATGAAATCTATCCGATAAAATACTCACGATACGTAACTGACAGCCTATGTACACGCGTATCAACATTCCACTGTGAAGAACTCAATGATCGACGTTCTCTTGTATTATTTCCATGTAATGGTTGGATAAATTCCTCGATTTGGACAGAATCTACAACAAAAAACATTCATATCTGCACTAATAATCGATATTATTATATGTTTTTTAATGTTTTCACTTCGTTAGATCACATTTCAAACGTATTATGTAAACAAGCATTCTACTGCTCACTTCGTTTCAGTACCATTTTTGAATTTAAATATAATGATACAAGCAAAAATGGATGTGAATTTCTTGCTAATCATTGTCAATCGGAATGGCTTGTATTGCCTAAATATCATTTTATATATGGCTTATTTCAATTTGTTTATTTAACGAATCGATCATTTGATGAATTTAAGGTTAATATTGCGCCTGATTTTATCTGTTTTAATGCAAGTCATTGTCCTGGATTAGTATATTGTTCAATAGATATTGGCATGCATAACGGACTCACATGTTGTAAAATGAATAATCTAATAAATAGAATATTAGGCAGTTGGATTCATTTGGATGAGATTTTGATCGATCTTAGTCAACGTTGTTTAACAATTGGTACAGATCAAGTATGTTCACATTCATCCTTGTTTCATTGTCCACGTTCATTAAAATGCATTTCAAAACATCGATTAGTTGATGGTTATCGTGATTGTTATTACAAAGAAGATGAATTATTTCCTGCTTGTCAATCAAATGATTCGAAACGTTTTATATGTGCATCTAATCCGGAAAAATGTTTATCAATAGTTGCTACTGACAATGGAATAAAGGATTGCGAACAGGGAGATGATGAACAGCTTGAACGTCGACTAGATATTCGAAGTAATTTTGTACCATTTGCAATATTTTGCGATGGAGAAAAGGATTTATTTTCAATGGATGCATTCAATAATACAGACGAAACGAATTGTGATTGGTGGCCATGTAAGAATCCATACTCTCGATGTGATAACGCTTGGCATTGTTTGAATGGTGCTGATGAATTGAATTGTCCAAATGCACGTTGTTCATTAAACGAACACATATGTCTAAATTCAGAATCTGACAATGGTAAGTGTATACCATTTCTCCATTTAATGGAAGAATTTACATATTTTAAAACACATTCAAAACGCCAAGTCCTGTTTACTAATATAACGAATGATAAGTTAGGAGACTGCTTCTTATGGAATCAAACGAAATGTATTACTGCAGAATATTTTAGTGATCCTCCATTGATTCCATCAATAGTTCATGATGATAATTGTTTTATACAAACCAAACTACCTCCGGCGTTTAATATTCCTACTAATCTGCCGTTATATAGTCATGGAATGTGCACTCTTGTAAACAAAGATTACTTTAAAAGAAAACCAAAACAATTTCTTCAAACATTTGGATTAAGTTATTTTCCATCAATTTCTATTAATTCTTCGGTTCCACAACTATCTCAAGTAGATGTTAATATAAGTACTTCAATGCAAAAAGTTAAACGCGATTGGTATTGTAATCGAGGAATTCCTCTTCTATCCAAAAACAGCCATACAAAAAAATGTCTTTGTCCTCCATCTTATTTTGGTCATCGATGTCATTTACAAAATCAACGTATTAGTTTAACGCTTCAATTGATATATCGTACGATTACAGATAATATACATTCTTTTCAATTAGTAATCATGCTTATCGATGATCAAGAAACAATTTATTCGTATCATGAACAAATTACATACGTACCTAAACGTGATTGTCTAAAGAAATTTAATATATATTTACTTTATCCTCATCGACCCAAAAATCTTTCAAGTAATTATTCAATACGTATTGATATCTTTAATAAAATTACATTAACATATTGGGCAAGTTGGTATCTATCAATTCCTTTTCAGTTTTTACCTGTTAATCGAATTGCTACACAATTATTTATTCCAATTACTACACAACAATTCGAATCATCATGCAAATTATCTTGTGGAAAACATGGTCGATGTATGCCATATGTTAATAAAAATTCTTCGTATTTTTGTCAATGTGATCAAGGTTATTCGGGTCGTTATTGTAATATTCAACATTCTTGTTCTTGTTCATCAGATTCATTTTGTCTTACTTCGTCTATTTGTTTATGTTCAATGAAGAAATTCGGTCGAAACTGTCATATAACACGTTCAGTTTGTCAATCATTAAATAATTCATGCGAAAATAATGGATTATGTATACCAGTCGATGATCGTATCAATGTAAATGATTTTACTTGTTTATGTAAGGAAAATTTCTATGGAAAACGATGTGAAAATCAAACTGAAGATGAAATTTATATTGAATTAAATGAAAAAATGATTCAACAAGTTTCAATTATATTTATTCATTATATCAAAGCATTTGATCATTCAGAACATCAACATATAACAGAAATAAAAAAGATTAAATACGGAGAAAACACAATACAAATTCACGTAAAACCACAATTTCATATTCTTTTTATTGAACTTTTAAAAAACGATTATTATTTAATTATTAAACAAGAAACTATTCAAAAATTAAATCATATTCAAATGAAATTATCATCAAATCAACAATGTGTTTCGATACATGAATTAATGAATTCTACTTTAAAATCTTATAATTATCTTCATCGTATTAAATATTATCCTCATTTATGTCGACAATATAAACAATTAATATGTTTTTATGATGAAACATATATGTGTATATGTGATCTTGATCGATTTTCAAATTGTTTTATCTTTAATCATTCGATGACTTATGATTGTCAAGGTCATAATTATTGTGAAAATAATGGTCGATGTTTCCAAGAGAATCCCAAATGTCCTGTTGAAGCATTATGCATATGTTCTGATTGTTATTACGGTTTAAGATGTCAGTTTACTACAGAAGGTTTTGCTTTATCACTTGATTATATTCTTAGTTATCATATTAAACCCAATCTTTCGTTTTCTCAACAACCAATGATTATTAAAATTAGTATAGGTATAACAACAATTATGTTTATTTTGGGATTAATTAATGGAATTTTGTCGATATTAACATTTCATATGAAGAAAACAAGAGATGTAGGTTGTGGTTATTATCTCTTAGTATCATCTTGGATATCAATATGTTTAATAATTATGTTAATCATTAAATTTTGGCAATTATTATTGTCACAAATGGTAATTCTTACTAATCGATCGTTTATCAACGTTAATTGTATATTATTAGATATGATTATCAAAATTCTTATAGCCTTTAATGATTGGCTTGATACATGTGTTTCTATTGAACGAGCTATGAATGTTAGTAAAGGTGTTAAGTTCAACAAAAATAAAAGTAAACAAATGTCGAAATGGGTTATATTAAGTATTCTAACTGTTACAATTCTAACACATCTTCATGATCCAATTCATCGTCAATTAATCGATGATATTGATATAGATGAAAAACGTATATGGTGTTTAGTACAATATTCTTCTTCTTCAATTAGTACATGGAATTCATTTATTACGTTCGTTCATTTTCTAATGCCTTTTTTAATTAATTTATTGAGTATAATTTTTATTATTATTTCAATTGCTCGTTCTCGTTCAAATCTACAAACAAGATTACCATTCATAGATCATCTACGATCACAATTAAAACAACACAAATCTCATCTAATTGCATCATGTGTATTCATATTAATAGCATTAATACGTTTAATCCTTTCGTTTACAAGTGGATGTATGAAATCACCAAATAATTCCTGGTTATTTCTTATTGCTTATTTTATATCATTTTTACCATCAATGATGACATTCATTGTCTATATATTACCATCAAAAGTTTATAAAAAAGAATTTAATACCGTTGTCGATCGAACAATTCAACGATTTCGTACTGTATCATAAGAGATCTTATGAAAATAAACTGTCTTTGCTTTCGTATTCTAAAAAACATTCTGCTTGTATTCTATAAACATTTAATAAATATTCTGAATTTATGTTGTCTGCAATACTCATAAATATTTGTGCTTTTTGACGACATACTTGCTGGGATATGGGTTACATCTAATCGGTTATATGATCGTATACGTATCATGTCATACTTGAATACTAGATTTTATATAAAAATCATATTTATATGTTTACAGTATACACCACTTCGATACGTAACAAAGTACATTGTTATATTTTATTTCGAGGTTATGCACATTTTTTCGTATGCACTCATGTATATCCACATCGAGACTCTCCTAATGTGATTTTTCTATTCTTGTTCAGCTACTATTGTTAAATCGATACAGCTGCTTATTTTACAAATAAAATGAATGAGTTATCTTGTACACAAAAATAATCTTATTGAGTAAAAAAGTATTCGTCCCCAAAGTGCATATCTCGTACAATCTCATTTCAATACATCAATGTTATATATATCCACAGAATATGATAAACAAAAACAAATGCAATGATAGTTCTCAATAAAATGTAAGTTTTGTATTGTATTATTATAAAATGCTTCGTGTACCTTTTCGTCTTTGTGATTGAGTCATGTTTATATACGTAGCAATACAGTAGACATGTATGTATATTTTTGTTTTTATCCAGATATACGTAATTAGAAGTATGCGCGTAGAATAGGAAAGCAAATAAATTTATATTGTTTTTAAGTAGACATTCAATTCGATAATTATATCCATAAATCATTTTCTTTGTATTATAAAAGGTATAAATCTTGAGTATTAATAATATTACTTCTCGGAAAGTTAAAACAAAACTAATATATTTGTTTATATCATTTTGAGTACCAGTATATTTTGTATCTGATAAGTAATAAGCAACGATTAACATCAATTAATAGATAAATATGCCTTTTTCTCTTATCTGATTCTATATTTTATTGTGTATACTAGATTATTTTTTTTCTAACATGTCTGAGAAATCGACTAGCGACGACGATAAAGACAGTCCACCTGCGCATTCACCATCCCATCGTCTAGAACTACTGTATGTTTTACTTTAGAAAAAAATATTTCTTTCATCTCTTTCAAAATTTTAGCAAACAACTCAATTCATTTAAACCACATCGATCTGCTGCACATCCAGAAATAAAACAATGTGATACTCTATGGTATTTATTAAATATTGATAAATTTATTCTTACTGTATTTTTAGTCCCGAAGTTCTTCAACATCGTGATAGTATATTGGAAATACGTACTAGTGAAGAAGCTGTTACACCTCCCGATAATATTAATAAAAATGGACAATCACCTCTAATAACAATTAATGTTGGTGGAAGTCGTTTTCAAACATATATTTCAACTTTAGAATTATATCCTGATACATTATTAGGTAATGAAGATAAACGAAATCAATATTGGAATAATGAAATACAAGAATATTTTTTTGATCGTCATCGTGCTTGTTTTGAATCTATACTTTATTATTATCAATCAAATGGTCGTCTTCGTCGACCAGATTTTGTTCCAGTTGATACATTTCTTGAAGAAGTCGAATTTTTTCTATTAGGTGAAGAGGCAACTGCACAAGTTCATGAAACAGAAAATATTAAAATAATTCAACAAGTTAAACTACCACGAAAGTTATGGCGTCGATATATTTGGTTTTATTCAGAATTTCCTCAATATTCAACTTTAGGTCGTGTAATTAATATTGTATCACTGATTTTTACAGTATTATCTTGTTTAGCATTAGCTATTGAAACACTTCCAACTTATAATAATCGTTGGGAAAATATGTGTAAAGAACAATTTAATAAACCTTTAAATGGAACTTCTCTTCCACGATGTTCAGCACTTTTTACATCACCATTTTTTATTATTCAAACTATATGTGTTAGCTTTTTTACAATAGAATTTCTACTAAGACTTATAAGTACTCCATCATATTCAAGTTTTATTATGGACCTTCTTAATTGGGCTGACTTATGTGCAATTATACCTTATTTTGTTCTTACTGGCATTGAAGTAAGCAGTAAAAATATAACTGCAAATACAGATGTTCTTACTGGTCTTCGTTTATTTCGAATTTTACGTTTTCTACGTATTTTTAAAATTTATTTAGTTTTTAAAAGATTAAGAACATTAAGAGTTTTAAGTTCCACAATAAAAGAATCATTATTAGATTTTGCCGTTATGATTGTTATTCTTACATTAATTGCATTTTTATTTGGTTCAGCAGCTTATTTTGCTGAAGAACAAAGTAATGGAGTAGCTTTTGATTCAATACCTAAAGCAGTTTATTGGGGTGTCATTACAATTACAGGAGTTGGGTATGATATTATTATTTTATTTTCTTCAAAATAATATATTTATATATTTATAGATATGGAGAAATATATCCGATAACAGTAGCTGGTCGTATTATAGCTTGTTTATGTGCACTTGTTGGTGCTGGTATGATGGGCATGCTTGTTTCAGTTCTTGTTGATAAATATCAACGAGTACATAAAAGGAAAATGTATATACCTGATAAGCATATGACACCAGTAGAATTAGAACGATTATTCAATCAAGATCAATCAAAATTAAATATTCCTTCAGAATCATCAAGTCGAGACAAAAAATCATCTTCAATTCAGAGAAAAAAAAATCAAAATTCACGTCGATCATCATCACAATCGTATAATGTTCAATTTGTTGTTTCATTTAATGATGAAAATATTGATGATGATGATGACCCAGATACTATTGTCACATCAGTTAAAGAAAAAATATCTGAAGCTATAGCAGATGTTGGTAATGGTATTAGTTTAAAAGTAATAGAGAAATGAAAAAAAAAGCCTGTGGATTTAACCGATACATTGTTGAACTTTGAATTTTATAAATATAATAAAGCTATATGTAACTATTCAAGTCAAAAGGATTTTTAAAACTTTTTTTTAATTATTTTGCTGTTTAAATTGCATGTAATTTACGAAATAAATTTTTCAGTAATATCACAATAAAAATTGATGAAATGTGCTGATAAATGGCATAAAATTTCGGCTAATTTAAATCATTTACGATGAAGTATCTCCGAATGAATCTTTCTTGAAAACGAGCATAACTATGCGCATCCTGATAATAATATTAATGAAGTATACATGTTTCTAATTAGTAATTTATATAGACACATAATAAAATCATGTTACGTTGCATTTAGATGTATTTTTGAAATTAATCAAATTGGTAAAAAGAGAATTGAAGGACTGTGAAGATAGACAATATTTCATTTCAATGTTGCATTATTCATCAAAACTTGAAAAAATCATCGGCATAAGTTAAACCATAAAAGGAAAGGAAAGAAGTATAATATAATATTGATTTATTTCAATCGTCAGACGCAGAAAAACAATGGTCATACGTATAGTATTACACGAAAAAATAAAAAGACAGAAAAAGGAAGTATGACAAAACATTGGATTACTTCAGTTCGGTTAGTAATACAAAACATTATCAAACACATAAATCGACAACAAGTAGTACATTTGTTCGTCTAGAAAGCATCAATATGCCAATAGATAGATACTTAAAAGATTAATCAAGTGATTATTCTATGTCGACTACCATTGGTTTCAATCCTAAAAACTTTATCACCCTAACAATTACGATAAAATTGAAAATAGTATGATTTGCAAGTATATAACTATTCATATAATATCATTTGTTGTATGAAAGAGAGAAAAACAAGTTATTAGTTAAATATATATTTAAATATTAGAAAAAATACAAAAAATCACTTTTAGATCAACGAACAAATGATCACAATCGGGGTATTTATTCACCATTTCTGTTTTGCATAGTTAGAAAAAAAAAATAATCGAAAAATATATTTTCTTAAAACCATGTCATATAAAAGTCTGGTTCGATGTCTTCCTTATTACTATTCATTTCACGATAACGACCTTCCATTATTTTTTTAAATGTACCATCAGCATAATGTTTCCAACTAAATATCCAATGATGTGCAATAGCAAAAAGAACCATTTCTACACAAATTAATATATTTGATAATAAAATCTTTTCATCATCAACTGTAAATCCAGTTGTTGATCCATTACAATCTGCATTTGTTGTTGGATCACATGTTGTATTTCTTAAAACTTTAGCTTTAGCTAAACCAGTCATTATTACTGTTTGCCAAAAAATAAAAAAAACAATCAATTTAATTGCAATAAATTTTGGTAAAGGTTTAAATGGTTGTAATGCATCTTTTGTATTTTCATAAAATGCTATTAGAAAATATAGCGCTGCCGTTTGACTAAAATTAACAATAATTGTTATATATGGATAACCTTTAGTAAAATCCCACTCTCCATTATCATAAACATTAGAAAGATTAAGTACAACTGCAATAGCCGAACATATTGGATTTATCCATGTATATTGTAGAAGACCAATTTTAAAATACCAAACCCAATGCATATGAGGTTTTGGTTTAATACAATGAAATGGAAATGGTAATTTAATATATTCTCGTGATAAAATAACTTCTTCAACACCGCGATGACCACCAAGATATTTTGTTAATAATAAAAGAAAACAATAGATTATATACGATTCAAAACATGATTTTATAAACTCCATATAAATAGCTGACACAAAATATAAAAGTGCTATCCATGATGTTATAGCATAGAAAGGTACCATTGCTAAAATACGCATAATTCGTTTTTGTGATTGATGATGTGTTTTATTACGAAAATGATGAATTATTTGAACAACTGACATTCCTGTTGCTACAAGAGCAAATATACCTCCAATGATAGCAATAAGACCTTGTTCATGAACGGGATCTTTATATTGTTGCCATTGTACAGGGTCATTTGAAGCCCAAATAACAATTAATGCAATTGCACAACAAAGTATAACAAATATTCCCCATGTTACTTCATTTTTAATAATTCGTATGAATGTTTTCTTACTGAAGAAATTATTACAGCATGTACCAATCCTTGATATCATGTTCGTTGAATCTAATAAATAAAACTAACCATTCGTAAAGAAACGAATAGAGAGACGTAATAAGTTACCTATAAATGTATGACTGTTTTTTTTCTTCTCGAATAATACAGTCAGCACGTGTATAATATTTATCATAAAAAATAGGTTAAAACAACCATCATATATATTCATGATTAATATTTCTGTAGAGGAAAAAAATATATAACTAATGTATGATAAAGAAACAAAATAAATAAAAAAAAACATGGTCATATTCGTACTTTTTACGAACGTCAACCATGTCATTATATTGACATAGTATGTTTCTTGTTGATCACCATTGCATTATTTTTTATCAATTGTTTAATGCTATCGAATATGACTAATTTTCTAATGATTGAAAATAATTAATTCTTATATATTTGATCAGTTGAAAAAGAAAATTCTTAGATATTAGACGAAAAAGAATATTCACTTGACAGTGTATAATTTAGTTACTACGTCATACTGACTTATTTTTTTTAGCTTATAATGTAATAAAATTGTGAATTAAAAACAGATTAGAAAAAAAAATAGAAATAATTATTATAGAGATGTAAGATTTTTATGATTAAGTTTAATAACAGTATCAGCAAATAATTGATCAGCAAAATCACAAATAACTACATTTACACCATTGATTAATGATGGATCACGTTGACGTAATGAAAGCCATTCAATTAATCTTCTATTTGTTTCTCTTGCATGAGTTTCAAGTGAACTAAATGGATTATTTTGTATTGTAGCAGTATCAGGTGTTATTTGACCTTGTATAACATTAATACACGTTGTAGATCGAGGTACTGAAACTTTTTCATCAAGAAAAATAAATAAATTATCTGTTCGAGGTGTATTTGGCCATGGGGATTGACAAATCTATTTAATAAATAAGATCTTATTTTTTTCAATATATATTCTACCTGAAAAAAATGTCCAATTCGATCCATATATGCTGAACATTGATCACGATTTCGTTCATAAAGTAATATAACTTGTTGTTGATTATTCCATAAATAATTCAATGTACATTCAAGAATTGTTTCAGCTGTTGTACAAATTTTTTTTCCAAATATTTCATGTATAAGTTCAATTAATTGTTCATGACCACATTGATCATTAAAATCATAAAAATGATTAAAATCAAGTAGAATAATTTCTTTTGGATGTTTATTTAGAAATCCATTGATTTCTTCAAGACCCTCACGTACTAACCCACCTAATAAACCATGTGTAAATGTAAATGGACTTTTTGAAGATAATTTCGAATCTGTTGTACGACAAACACGTAAATCAAAGTAACGAATACCAATATATAATTGTTCTTTTTTTCGATGAAATAAAAAAAGAATGATTTAATTTTAAAAAATCTTAGAAAAAAAATACCAGCAAAGGTTAAATTTTGTGTAATACTCCAATTTTTAATAATAGGACTAATTAAAACATGAAGACGTCTTAAATTCGCATCCATATCCGGTCCAGCATGACGAGATAGATAAAAAGCAAATGAATCATGTGTACCTATGAAAACAATATATTTATTCTAAAGATATGTTATTTGTTACCTGGAATAGCAATTTTTGTAATTGGTTCATTATGAAGTTCTCTCGGTAGATTTTTCATCCATTCCGTCGCATGTTTAACTTCGACTGTTAATTCTTCTTCGATTGATTGACAACAACAGGTAGTCATAAGTTGTAAATACAATAAAAATTATTCTGGTATTTCTTTTATTTTAATTTAATATGTCATTGAATCACATTGAATGATATCCTTTTTTTTGAAAAAAAAATATAAAAGATGTGTATATATATATTCGCTATTGACTATAAACGAATAGATATATATAAAAAAAAGAGCACTTCACATACATTTCAGTAATAAAAAGAAAAAAGACCATAAAAAATATGCGCGTAATATATGTGTTTATTTGAATTTCGGTGCACTACGATCATTAGTTTTGGCTTTCTTTAGTTTAGCAGTACTAAAACTACCAATGTCACCTAATAATTGTGAACGATCACCGCTAGCAGCAGCTGGAGGAGGAGGAGGTGCTGCCATAGTTAGTGGCGGTGGTGGTGGTGGTGGTGGCGGAGGAGGTCCTCCTACTGCCATTGGAGGTGGACGTGGTGCTGGTGGTGTTTGTGAAACTTCAGGTATATCAACACTTATATTTGGTGTTAAAATTCTTCTTGATGCTGATCTATCAGTAGATAATTGTAATGGATCGACACTAACTGAACGTTGTAAAAGTTCTGTAATAAAAAACAAATGTGAAATAGATAGATTTCCAATTTTCGAACATACTTGATGAGCCTTGTGGATTTGTATTTGCATCGAAAGTTTGTCCAAGTGCTTTTAACTATGAAATAAACATTTAATTTTAATATTACTATTAAGATTTACAGACTTGTTTTTCTTTACGTCGTCGAAGTCTTTCTTCATCAGACATAAGATGATTTGTAAGTTTTGTACGACGTTGCGCATTTTTGATCTAAATATAAATAATATTAAACCTATTTTTTCGTATTCTGAAAGAGAAATTTACTGCAGTTTGTTCGCCTTGTAATCTATTTTGTGCCGCTCGCTTAATTTGTTCAAATGCGTCTTTTGCTTTTGGACTTAATTTGATCTGGAATCGTTCATTATTATTCAAAGTTGGTACTTGAAAGAAACTTTAGAACGAAAAAAAATTGAATATAAAAAAATTTCAATGAATTCTTACGAATCATCTAAAAGTTGTTGAATTGTTGGTAAATCTCCTGTTGGTGCAAAAATTGTCAAAAGAACATGTTGAACTGGTATTGGTACTGAATTAGGAAATTGTATAGTAACACTTGTTGGACATTCATTTCCCGTTGATAATTCATATAAAATTCGACCGAAAGCATAAACATCACATTGTTCAAGTGTCTAAAAATAAAAACATTAGAAAATTCGATAGTTTCTCTCTAGTTTCTTTTCTCATACATGAATTTGTTTTAGATTGCATGTATAACAACGATATTTCGATGATATACCAGTAATTGCATTAGCAATATCAAGTAATTTAATTGGTAAAGCTTGTTCGAGATCAAAGATAATATTCCCTGAATGTAAATGTCCATAAGCAAGACCATTGTCATATAAAAAATGCAATCCTTCTAAGATTAAACGACCAAATTGTTTAATTTGGTTCACATCACAACCTCGAGTCGCTGTTTTTCGACCGTATCGTTTCCAATATGCACCATTTATTGGTTTTGTCTATAAATAATCATTCAAAATTAAGAGAATAAAAAAGTATTTGTTATCTTTTTGTATACCTGATGTATATAATCTTTTAATGAACCTTTATTATAGAATCGATATACACTAAGTGTACCATTTTCATTAGCATAAATATCATCAATTGGAACAAGAAGTGGATGCTAGAATAAGATTGTTGTATATCATCATGAAAGAGTATGATATAAAAATAATAGAATACTAACAGAAATTGATTTTAATAATTTTAAACAATTGGTAATCTCTTTTTCTCCAAATGCTTTATCTAATCCATAATGACACTAAAAAAATCAATTATTTATGTAAATATCGATTCAAAATTACATATATACCCATGATAAAAGATAACGATCATCTTTTGGTGATCCAGTTTTTGTTGCTAGGAAATAACTTTTATTATAACGCCATCCTAAAATAATAGAAAATGATTTCAATATAAATAAATAGATAAATAAATCTACCAAAATCATGAAGTTGTTCAACAATTTGATACATATTATTAGTTGAACGAATAAACATCGATACGGCTTGTAAGGCTAATTCTGTATGAAATATTTTGTTAATTAATAATATTACTTTTTCAATAAATACCTGAATAGTTTAATGTATGATTTTCTGGATCAAGAAAACGTTGTACAACTAATGAATTACATAATTCAAATTGTTGAACAAGTGTATCGAGAAATAGCTATAGAGATAGATTATTTAATAAATAAATCAATTCTTTTAAATTCTCACATACTTGAAGACCTTTTTGTCTTTCAGCCATAAATGTTCGATCAGTTCTTCCAAGAAGTTTCTTTTTAGGTAAGTCCAGATCAAAACCAAATTCTTTTAAAATATTATTGAGATCGTCAAATTCTCTAAAACGTCGAATTACAAGCCATGAACTTGTTGGATCATGTAAAGCACGTATAACTCGAATAGAATATTCCTAATTTTAGATTTATGATTAAAAAGAAATTTTTTTTTTCTATTCTTAATTACCCCATGTCCATCAACAAGTTGTGAAGTTTCAATCATACATGTTAGTGGTAATGTATCATCTGCTTGTTCATCAGTGATTATTTTAGGTATAATTGGTCTTGCCATTAGACAATATCTTTGTATTATTTTATTATGAAATATAAAACGAGCAAGTTCACTTACTCACTTTTCTTTTCTTTTTCTTCTTCTTTTGTTTTATCTATTGTTTGCTGTTCGTGTGCACTTTTCGAAAAAAAAAGTGAGAAAAAAGAACTATATAACAACGGAGATAAGAATTGATATGCACACAATTTTAGTGTTTATGTATGT